TCTCATGTAATCAATGTTAGTTTTCTCAAATCTTAAACAATATGTAGTATAACTGTCCAATGATTGAATGATCAATGATCATAAACTGAAAAGCCCCAAACATTTGTTTATGATAAAGTAAATAATAGTATGGCGCCTTATGGCTACAGATTTTTTGTCCATTGAAATATATTTGCAGGAATGTAGGATTTCGCTGCCATATAACGGCCACGATTCCCCAAGCACTAAAGAAATCATAGCTAAAAGTCCTTCGTCAACAACAATTTTAGAAGCATCAATCTGCTTACCATACGCCATATTGACATAAATCGCATCACACACTCGCATAATTGACTTTGATATATTACATTCATGCATACACTTCACTTGTCCTTTACTTACGATTTTGGATGTAAATTTCTGCTGATAAAACTCAAAACAATGTTGGCTTTCTTTTGAACATCAATGACTGAAATGTCGCTCGCGAGATCGTCTTTGCCAAGCATTTACAATTTATCCATAAATTTTCACCCTCTTGAAAAATTCACAGTTTGGACAGCAGCATTCATGTCAATATATGAATTTGTAAAGATTTCCATAAATTCCATCTGATTGTAGTTTAGTTTCTATCATGCTTATAAAATTACTATGAAACGATCAAACATTCAATTCAGACAGTGAGCTTGACTATGTTAGTTCAGTTGGCTATCAGTCGAAATCCGTCAAACCAATCACAATAAAGCAAAATTCAAATGAACCAATTGTAAGATAGCAATTGGACTCCCTTATACGTCCGGCCACCTTATTATCAGTCGAGACCATTCCAGACTGTCCACTGATCTGGCTATTGACCAATAAAATAAGCGTTTTGACGTTCATAGACTCCTTTATCCGTCGAACCAGTCAAGCCACCCCGCTTATCAGTCGGTTATTCCAGGTCAATTAAAATTCAACTGATCTGGTTACCAACGAGATATTCATTGGATTAGTCATTAGTTTTCAATAATAAATAATGCGGGATTTTTATCACGAAGTAAATGCGATAAGAAAATAAGAATAATTAATGAATTTTTAATTAATATGAATAGGTAATTTTTGAATTTCAAACATCAGTCGCGCGACGGATTTGACATACTCTAGATCCGCCCCTGTATCCCTGATGATGAAATTTCAGAATTTGTTTTACAGAATACAGATGCAAGTGCAGAGCAAATTAGAAATTCTTTAACTGAGTTTTTGATAACACAATAAGCTGATGATAGCTAAATTACTCATGTTTTTAAATTAAATCAAAGTTTGTAAAATGTTTGTTGACTTTCAGCATCATGGTGAACATTGTAGAATGGTTGTTGCACAGGCTGAGACCTCATTGCTATTGCATTTGCAAGAAGTGACATTGACTCCTTATAAACATTAAGCTCTTCCTTTCGCAACTCTCGCTCTTTTTCTGCTTCTTTTTTCATTTCTGACAAAAACATTTCATCAGACTCCTTGAGATATTTGTTATGCTCTTTCATTGCATTCTCGAATGCCACTTGCATGCTGGAGGGCTTTGCCTTTCCCCTTGGTATTCTTTTCCTTGGCACTGATTTGTTTTCACTTTGAGATGGTAGGGATTCCTCAATTGCTTCACTAGGTAACTACTCGTCTGCATTACTGACATCTACATAACGTATCTCATAAATGTTACGACGTAATAAAACAAAATAAAGTACACGCATGCAATGCCCTACTATTCACCTGCTTCAATGTAATCGCAATATGGGCAAACAAGTCTGTCATCATCAGCGTATACTGCAGTGCTGTTTCCAGCATGGGCTCCTGCTGACCTAAGCTCCACAAACTCATCGCACTGAGGACATTTTTTTTCAATGATCCTCCCGTGTCCGTATTTTCTTGTAAGCTCGTCTGCTATGAAACGCAAAACCAATATTTTCATTTGCAAAAAACCACTCGATATCAACTCATCCACGATAACTTACCATCATCATCATGCCCGTTAATGCTTTTTATTTCAGCATCAGCTGATGAACACGTTGATTCATCAGATGTATCGATGACGTTTTTTAGACCCTTTGCTTCTGGTCTGTCACCCAAGAAATTGTCCATAACGTTAAAGAATTTAGGTTCCTTGCCTCTCCCAGCTCCTGATCGTGATAATTTGTCTTTAAACTTTTTGTATTCAGATTTCATATGCTTAAATTTAGTTCTACATTGCGTCCAATCACGATCTATCCCTTTTTTCATTATAATGCTGATTTTTTATAAATATCAGCGTTTTTGTGGGTACCTTTCAACTTTTGTTGAATTTCTTCTGTACCGTACGCTGAGAGGAGGGCTAAACAGTGTTTTTCTGACCAAACCTCTCGTTTTTGCGCCATTTTCCAAGCTTTTTTCTCTGTTTTGATTTTGAGAAAAATGTCCGCGTTTTTGCGGAAACGGCATGGGAGCGAAACTGTTCTATCGAAATAAGCTCACTTACGTTCACATATAAACCGGATCGATCTCAGATCGATCTCAGACCACCTTTCGAAGCGAGCTGACTGAGATCGATCTCAAATTTTAGCGAAGGTTCACACTTAGCTCGCTTTACGTTAGATCGATCTCAGATCGATCTAAACGACCAGTGTGGACTGGCCCTATAAGTTGTTAAATCAAAGATGGTATATTTATCAAATTTTGAAGGTTCTGAAATAGTTTACATACGGAATAAGATAAATAAAGATAAGCAAATGTTTGAAGGAAATAAGTCGTTTTAAATGGTCATTGAAAGCTGAAAAGCCTTTTTTTGAGTATTGTATGTTGTGCATTAAATCAATCTTGACTGATATTTATGCAAATTTGCAGAGTAACCACAAATTTTGCGAAATTTCTGTGTGCAAAAGATTAGAAAGAATTGTATTGGCCAGTATATCTTTGATATCTGGCGCATGGAAATATATTTTAATGTTACAAGGAAGAATTTGCTTTTAACATCTAACTAATAATTGATAATAATAGTCAATAAAATAAATGGTTTGAGCCCGGGAGTAACGTTACATGTTTGTAGATCGTTTAGGTTATACTATATACTAGTGTCTTTTGATGTGAAATCACTGTTCACCAGTATTCCACTTAATCTGGCACTTATTTGTACAAATACCCTCATTACAAACACCACGGACGTACTGCCATTACCGACAGAAGACATTATGGACCTACTGGAGCTCTGCCTCACCTCGACTTTATTCCAGTACAAAAGTACACACTACAAACAATTACATGGAACAGCAATGGGCTCACCCGTTTCTGTTTAGTTGCTGAAATTGTAATGCAATCTGTTAAGGAACAGGCGCGCACGACTTACAAACATGCACTACCTTTTTGGTTCCGCTACGTATGCAAAAGATTAGAAAGAATTGTATTGGCCAGTATATCTTTGATATCTGGCGCATGCAAATATATTTTATTGTTTCAAGGAAGAATTTGCTTTTACATTCAACTAATAATTGATAATAATAGTCAAATTTAACAGGTAAATTTCCCAAAATTAACTAGACAACAGAGTTGGAAAGTTCTACAGAGGCAAGTAGAAGCAATATGGAAACAACAACTGAGAGCTCAGATAAATCTGTGCATTATTATAAGAAGAAATCAAACTCATACAGCAGTTAAGCAGAAGCTATGTCATTTTTTGAAGAAGGAAATCTTAGTATGAATAATGGTGATTATGGAACAGCAATTGAAAACTACAAAAGATGTTTGAAAAATGCCGACAAGAATAACGTCAAAATGATGGTTTATTTTGGTCTTGGTAACGCTTACACCCTCTGTGATAATTGGGAGGAAGGATTAAACAGTTTTAAACATTGCTTAAAGTTTTCGTCTAAAGTTAAAAGTGAATATTTTGAACATCAAGTGTACCTTGGCCTGGGGAGTGTTCATTCTACCATTAAAAGGTTGGAGGAAGCCATGAAGAAAGATGAAATGGAATGTCTCTGCCATATTGCATTGGGAGGATTGAACAAGTTGGTTGAAAATTATGAGAAATCTTTGGAGCATTATAGAAAAGGATTCAATTTTTTTGATTTTAAAGACCAAGAAGAAGAAATGCAACCTCGACAACGGAAAGAAAACCACCAAGGAAATCAACAAGAACAAAGTAAACGGCGTGAACGACCGCGACGACCAAGAAAAGTTGGCGGTATTAACGTTGGTAAAGATTTCTTGAAGAAGTTGAAGAACTTGTCAATTGTTACTTCAGCTGGAATTGTCAGTGGAGTGTTGGTTGTTTTATGGGAATTAGCAGAATTGTTTGATAAACTTGAGCAATTTAGGGAAGCAGCAGATATTTATGAAATTTATCTGAGGATTGTCACAGAAGATGAAGATATAGAAAAACAAGAGAATGCTATGGAATATCTGATACAAATATACGAAGACGAAGGACGTGATCTCTTAAGGGATTCGATGACAACGAGATTACAAGAATTTGGTGAGAGAAAAAAGAACCAAGGTACAAAATGCACATGAATTCAACTTAATTAAGAGACAAATTTGCTAACTAACAAATACTATAAATTTAAGGTTGAAGATTGAAAATATCTACTTTGAAATTCACGTAAAACTTGTTCGCCGTGTTTAAAGTTTAGCATGACTTCAATGTGGAAAACGCACTCTTTTTTAACGCTTATGCAAAGTAGCTAATAACTTTTCGTTTAGTTACAAAAACTAGTCTTAGTTTTTGTTTTTCCATTTTGTAAAACAATACCCTCATGATATGAGTAAAAGACCTGGGTGAGATGTCCCGTGTAAGAGTTTTTTAGAGCCATTCTTATCAGAACTCATTGCTTAAATAAGTGGTTGCAATATGTTTATTTGTTGTTTTGTAAGTTATTTTTCACAAATTGTATCTGCTATCTGAATCGTTGGTGCAGTAGGGAAACTCCAGCACTGCTATTTATTTATTATTTGACTATTTAGCTACAATATATTACTATATTACTCTACCTATAAATGGAATACTTTTACTTCTATTCCAGAATTGCAGCTGCATGAATGGAAATACAATGATAAATCGACAAAACATAAAGAACAGTTCTTAAAATTAATTGAGTATGGGAAAGACCCTAATCTTGAGGTTAAACATGTGGACGATGTACGTGTAATTTTCTCAGAAGAGTTTTTACTTGGCAAAGGAAGTGATGGAACCCGTGTTTATCTTGGACTAGGAAAGGATGGTTACGGTAAAGCAGTGAAACAAATTCTTCGTGATACTTATTTGGCACAGCATGAAAAAGAAGTTTTTAATCAAATCAATGCTAAGAAGTCGGATTATGTGCTAAATTATTATTGCTCGAGACAAGATACAGGAACAGAATATGTCTATTTGATTTTCGATCTATGTGAAGAATCGTTGGAGGATTTTGTGCTATCCGAATCAAATAGTTTAGATTATCTTCAAAAATCCCTTCCCGACATTTTGAAGCAAATATTGAACGGCTTAGCTGATCTTCACAGCGATCCACGTCCCATTCTTCATCGAGATTTGAAACCTTCCAATGTTCTCCGAGACACACAAGGCAAATTTTTGATAGCCGATTTTGGTATTAGTCGATTTTTGAAGAATGGCTCTCAGACATATGTAAGCGATGCTAATAGGGGAACTCAGCATTGGATTGCTCCTGAATCTTATATTGTTGATAAAAAAATATTTGATAAAGGACGTTACAAAACAAAGTCTGATGTAATGGTAGGTATTGGGTTGTTACTATTTGCAAATTGTACATAAATTTAATTTTTACATTTTACGTACTCTGTTATGTTTAATTTATTTTAGAATGCAGGAATGGTGGCTTACTTTGTTGCAACAAAAGGAAAACATCCTTTTGGTACTAAAGTATGCATACTTCAAAATTTGTTGGATGGAAAACCTGTTGGCTTGAAGGAAATCAGTAATGTCGAACTAAATGATCTTCTTTCATGGATGCTACAACATAAACCCGAACTCAGGCCATCTGCAAAGGAGGCTTTAAAGCACCCTTATCTACTATCTGATGAAGAAAAGTTTGACTTGCTCTGTGAAGTTGGGAATCAACCCGAGATAAAGATACCGCATTTAGAACATCCTCTCAGCCCAGATGTCCATGAACAGTTAAATGGTCTAAACAATTGGAAGATCCGTCTCATTCATGAATTCGATGATCATTTCAACAAGAAACTCTACGACTCTACATGGTTAGGATGCTTAAGATTCATACAAAACGTTGATCAGCATTGGCATGATGAGCATCGTACAAAACTGTTACCATATATCAAGGAAGACAGCTATAAAGAGTATTTTGTACGGGTTTTACCAGAGCTTCCTCTTCTGGTGCACAGAATCATGAGGTTAAACGAATGGATCTCAAGACCTGATATGGAAAAACGTGCTCTTGGTAAGTTACAGCCATAGAAGTAATTCTTCAGTTGTAACGATATTGCTAAATTATATGCATTTTCCCTTGGTAACGTCGGAACATAATAGGGTTTTCTACTTGTTTGCAAAAGCAATTTTTTCTCGTGAATCGAAAAAATAGTCTCTTTCCTAATGAATTCTTTGCATTGCTTGTCCGGAGCTTTTGAAGTGCTTCTGTTTCTCAGGTTCAAAAAATGCAATTTATTTTAAGAGGATTTTTGGTCATAACTTTTTAACATTCAGATACTAAAATTCATATTTTATGTTAATGTGAAAAGGATGTGTTTTATCCATTGCAGAATTGCTCAATATAGTATAGCAGACCTAGCGTTTGTCAAAATGAATTATAGATGCTCAATTTTAAATTCAAAATATGTTCAAACCAAAACTATTGGATTTGAATTTCAAAAAATTAAACTTTATCAATGGACTTGCCTCTATGTATTTGGAAATGGAAATATATCCAAGCATGAGCTGCAGCAATTTATTTTGACGTACCCTAGATCCGCCACTGGCTTTATTGAGTTAAAGGTTGGTATAGTCATGCAATGAACTAATCGTGGAACGTCGATTATTGCGCGTGAATTGTATGATGACCAACTCATTTCTACCGGAGTAAATGTTATTTCCATGTCAAAGTAAAAACATCCGTGTTTTCTCATCCAGAAAAAAAACAGCAATGTTATATGTTATGTGATATTGCCAAAACAAATAAAACTGTGAATTGATGAATTTATCAGTCCTTTTTTAATCTTTCCTGATTTGTACTTCTCCTTTAAGTTCAAGAATTGTTGCGTCGACCATGGAAATGTTTTGATAAATCAATAATACATAAGAAAAAGTTTAAAAAGATGGAGGAATATGGACGCAAACATCCAGAAAAAGTTACACTGCTCAGTGAATTGCGTGTAATTTTCATGAAGGAGTTTTTGCTTGGCAAGGGAAGTGATGGAACCCGTGTTTACCTTGCCCTGGGAAACAATGGTTATGGAAAAGCAGTAAAGCGAATACCCAAAGATAGCGGCAAAGAATTTGCAAATCGCGAAAAAGAAATTTTGAATGAGTTGAATGCAAAGCGTTCAAATTATATTGTGAATTTTTGGGATTTAAAAGAGAACATTGACGAAGAGTATTCGTACATGATATTAGATTTGTGTGAAGAATCGTTAGAGAGTTATGTGAAATCTTCTTCTTTGCAAGATCTTCAAAAAGTCGTTCCTAAAGTTCTTATTCAGATCTTAAATGGTCTAGTTCACCTTCACAGCCGTGAGCGTCCTATTCTTCATCGGGATTTAAGACCCTCGAACGTTCTTCGAGATGTACAAGGAAATTTTTTAATCGCTGACTTTGGTATAAGTCATATGTTATCTGATGAAACTTCGACACATCGGAGCATACAAAGAGGAGCTAAAAATTGGATAGCTCCAGAGTCATATGACGCATCAGATGCATCAATTAATAAAGTTCGTTACAAAAAAGAGTCTGACATTATGGTAAGTTCTTGAAGTAGAACTAGAGGTCCAACTACAGCTCAATGTTTTATTTGCATTTAATTAAATATTGGTATTTGGTAGTGATAATGATTTTACCTCAATTTTTTTCTTTACCTCGATTGCATCGTCATATAGTGTCAACCTATAAATTTGATTAAAAATAAATAAATTTTTGTTAATCATGTTACAGTTACAATTGTATGTTCCTTATTTAGATTGCTTTTAATACATATATATGGCCACAATTCAATTTGGAGAACATTTTTTAAATTTTTTTAAGCTGCACATTTATTGTTGAGTTCTGCAAGTCGCAAATAAATTTAATCTTTAAGGTTTTAGTATCCACCACTGACTGTTAATGACAATTTTTTATTGAAAATAGAATGCCGGAATGGTGGCTTATTATGTTGCAACAAAGGGAAAACATCCTTTTGGAACTGAACGGTTTTCACTGGACAACATTTTGAATGGAAACCCAGTTGGATTGGTCGAAATCAAGGATGCCACGTTCAAAGACCTTTTATCGTGGATGCTACAGTTAAAACCCGAAGACAGGCCATCTGCCGATAAGGCTTTAAAACACCCTTATCTACAATCAGACGAAGAGAAATTTAACATGCTGTGTGATATGGGGAACCAATTGGAGGTGAAACATTCACAAAGTCAAAATTCTCCCACTTCAGACGTTCATAAGCAGTTGTATGGTTTCACAAAATGGAAGAAGCGTATTGATGATGAAGTCGTCAAAGATTTGATCAACTTTGAAGTAAACGACAGTATAAGAACTCTAAAGTACGAGTCTACATGGGCAGGATGCTTAAGATTTATACGAAACGTTGACCAACATTGGCAAAATAAGCCTCGTCCGCATCTATCACAACATGTGAAGCAAGGCAATTATAAAAAGTATTTCCTGCAACGTTTTCCTGAACTTCTTCTTCTGGTGCACAGAATCATCAGGTATATCGAAAGGAAATCCACTCCAGATCTGGAAGAACAATTTGGTGGTAAGTTAACCATTAAAATATTTCTTTTTCATCAATGATGTAGCTAATCAATCTCTAAAATCGCTAAGTGTAAAAAATGCAACCTAGTCAGTCAGTTATTCCGGTTATACAGTCGAAGTGTAAATTTTCTGCGTTTGATTTGTCGCGATATGTTTGTTCATATTAGTGCATCAAAGACTGTCATGAACAAGTTAACCATTTTAAAAATTTTATCTCCAGCATCCCCTTTGACGGTTTGAAATGGTAAAAACGCAAATATGTTTTAACATATACTAATATTTATATGGAGATAGACAAGGAGTAAGAGTTTGCAGGGACGGCCAAGCAACATTATGAAGTGCGAGGCTAAGTCTTCACTTCTACTATGGTGTCTTGAAAAACACCTCTAAACAACGACTTCGGCTCAGCCTAAATATATTTTTTGCAAAAAGGCGGCTTCAGTTCTCCCAGTCCCCCCAGGCTGTTAACGTTAGTGCAAAGCTTATGATTAACTGTAAGGATTTCTACAGTTAGACAAAGTATGACCCTCACACTCCAAAAAGTGTTTATCTTGTTGATAAAGTTTTGAATGTTCCAATATCAGCAATGTACATGGCAATGAATAATGAACATTTCCTAAGAAATTTGTCTCCACAGGGGCAATACTTCCTAGTAAATATGGTCCCACTTGGGAAATTTGGCCCCTTTACAAACTTTAACATCTATTTCAAAAACGGTGAAATTTTTTTCATAACCAAGATCACAGACGATCTAACATAATACAAGTTATGTAGATTTATACATGACTCATTGAACCTGTCTTGTTCAAACAAAGAACATATGCTTTGTTACTTTTATATGTTTTTAATCGTATTATATTTTATTGCTTATGTTCTCTAACGGTTTCATCAAAATTAGAACTTTACGAGTTTTTTGTCTCTGTATTGACGTATCATATGTAAATGAAAAAACAATTTTTATTCTTTATATTGCAGGAGAAATCAATCGAGGTTAGTAGCTATGTTCGTGCAATAAAGTAAGGACGAATATTTTTATAGATATCACAATAACAAACGGAATATATTAAGATAAATTTTCTTTCCTCAACAAGGCGAAAGTTAATATGAAATATTCATATGATTCTATCCTTCTTGGTTCTTATGTATTTAGTACATGGATATTTATGGTTGTTTAAGGCAGTCTATATCCAATGAATTATAAATTACAGGTATATTATAAGTGTGAGTGTGAACTTTCTTTTCATTGTTGCAGGTTGCTCCGTGTTAGATGAAGGTTGGTATACTCATGCTATATACATAATATCAGTGCTTTTAAATAATGCATAAATAAAATAACAAATAGTTGTCTAAAGAGAAAGATAAAATGCTCCCTTCAAGAAAGAAAAATTCAAAATATAATTCATGTGATGATCATCCTTTGGTTATTGAATTTTTTTTTCACTGCATTAACCCCTTTTTTACCAATAAACTGTCGTAAATTGACAACTGTTGATGAGCGCTTCGAGTACCGGTATCAATTCAAAAAAAACGTTGCATACATGTGTAGAAATACTGTGTAGTCGGTTTCCTGTTGCGCATGTAATCCACTGCTCGTCAGTGGATAAAATTTTCTCAATAACATTTTGATAGAACTATACAATGCCGGCAGTTCTCTTAGACTACAATTGACGTACCTATGTTGAATCTGTCAAATCTTTAAATGTACATCGCACAAAGCAAATGTAAAGCTAGGCTTGCATCATATGTTTAAATTCATTTTCATTAAGAATCGTTTAAACAATAGTCATATTGATTTTCATTGAAGTAGATTTGAGTGTAGATATGTACGTTTATGTTGGATGTCTGCAAAATGTTTTTTGTATCTGTAACTAGGTCTAATTTATTTATTTAATATTTTAATTAATTTTCATCAATTTAACACAATTATTGCAATCGTGACCTTCAAACACGGTTTTACGTTATTTGTTTTTAATATGGTTATGTACTTATACGTTGCTTGAAAGTGATGCATGAAGCATGAAAACGTTGCAAAACAAAAAGCATACAAATATTAATATTCATAAATGCGCAAAAAGCACTTCTTATCAAGGCATTTAGCTAACATCGCGGATCTTTCGTACTTTCGGTTTGACTTCATAATGTTAATTGTTTCTTCCAAACATACACAATACAATTTGCTTTATACTAATCTTGACGGTATACGCACTTTACTACAGACACCATGAGATTTTAAATGGTTTGTCTCGTTCCTTAAGCCATGCGTATTTAAAAAGCTCAGTTCTGTTTCAGGTATGACGTCATAATTGCAGATATCGAGAATTATCCGCATGTAGTTGACCAATCACAGCAGAGAATGGCCACATAGTGAATTATAATAGCTATTATTATATGGCAAGCGTCACTTCCGGCAAAATGGCGCGCTTTGATTGACTCAGAAACATTTTTGCCGGTCCATTATTTTCCCGTAATCGACCACGGTCGAAAACGCGTAATTTTAAAGTCGAATGTAAACAAAGTTTGTAATGCAAACAGCAAAAGGCAAAATAAACGAAACAAAAAACCATTTACGAATGTGATTCGAAGGAAATGCACTTGGAAAACAGTTAAACTATCCAAAAACGATACAATTTGAAACGATTTATTTTTTATGGGCGAAAACTAGAAAAGTGAAAATCAACCCGTAAAAACAGCAAGGACGAGAAAGAAAACAAGCTTCGTTTCATGTCAAATAATGCCATATAATAATCCTTTTAATAACCTCGCTTTCTCGGTCTTTACTGAGAAATATCAGACCTCTGTCTTTTTGTACAAACATCGCCCTACGGGCTCGGTCTGTACAAAAGGACATCGGTCCGTTATTTCTCCGTAAAGACCTCGCGCTCGGTTATTTAGGGCTTAATAACGCGCATGATTGGTAGATGAATTTGTCATTATTGTATGATCATCATTATTCATTCTCGTTTCGCTTGTGTTTCTTCTCCTAAAGAGCCCAATAAATTGTTTTTAAAATTTTAAGTTATTCGTCGCTAACTAAATTTTTTTAATTTGAAAATAATGTGCAACGAATCGTTTAGGTAGCGTGTCATGTGTAAATGTTATACTATTGTTTTTATTTTTTTATTTTTTCATTATGCAGACGAGAAGTCAAAAGAACTTTCAAAAATAACAAGAGAAAGTTTTGGTGGACCCTCAAAAGAAGGTAGATACCACGTGTTTACCTTGTACTTTTGCACCTTATAACGAAATGGAAGGTGGACACTTTGTCGTTCTTAAATGGATAGATAGACGTGACGATCTCGAAGTTTTGTTATTACTTTTATGTTTTGTCTAATTTATCTTTAGGAAAGACGACAGAAAAAACACCCAAAAGGCGATTCTTCTATCCGTCAAAAGATTGCGAGGAAAAAGGTAAACATGTGCATGCTTATATTTTCATCATCATACTCATGTTGACTGGCTTTTCAAAACATCATTTTCTAGGAGTGTATTCTACCTTCTATTTCTCGTCATTGCGGAGAGGTAATGATGAGTGAAATAGCTCACTAAACAACACCTTAACCGTAATGCTAAGTTTTGTAATAAACATTCATGTTGTGATGTAATGTTTTATAATTGTATTTTCCGGCTGCTTTAGAAAAGCTTCATTCGACATATCAATCCGATGTTAATGTCAGTAATGTCGACAATGGTATCATGACTTCTAATTCAGAAAATGGTAAGTAATAAAATTTTGTTAACAAACATTTACTCAAATATCTATACACTACCATTTTGAACGTTCAATTCAAACAAGACTGCATTGCAACTTATAATTATTGTTTCGAAAGATACGTAAGTGACTTTTGTGAGATAAATGACTGCAGTTAATCTCTTTTAATCAACCGGAAGTGCAAACCAGACTTTATTACTTACACATTTTTTATAATACACTATGTAAAGTATTGTCCACTGCAAACATCTTTTTTTTAAAGAAAAACGTTGTCATTGCTTTCAAATGTTTTGTTTGATATAATTTCGTTTACTTTTTTGTCAATAGTTTTAGATTCTCGAAGATTATCAATCGATCATTTAAACTGTGAGGCTTATCGCCAGCTATGTAATAAACTAAACTATGAAATGGGAAACAAAGATTGGAGGGAACTAGCTGGAAAAATGAATTTCACAGCTGGTGAGGTTAGAGACTTCTCAAGAGAACGGAATCCTGCTGATGCGTTGCTTCAACACTGGAAGACGACAAGCATTAACCACGATGTTCCTGCTTTGATCAAATTGTTGAAGGAAATAAAGATAAACGATCTAGTGGATTTACTGGAATCATACCAAGACGATTATCAGTAATTTAAAATATCAGTCATCGTTTGTTACACCACGTAAATATTACTTACATGAACAATTTTTATCATTGTTTAGGAATACTTTTACCAGCATTACGTCATTGGTAAAAGATCAAACAAGTGACAGTAGAGGTAACCAAGAGTGAAATAACTAACGAGTTAATACTTTAATTTTGAAGCGATGTCTTGACTGTTTAGTAATAAACATATTATACCTGTAATGTTAAATATTTGTATCGTTTTGCCTTCTAAAGAAAGGAAATCTTTGCCATATCAATCTGATGATAAGGATAGTAATGTCGACATTGATATCATGACTTCTAATTCAGAAAGTGGTAAGTAATAAAATTTTGTTAACAAACATTTACTCAAATATCTATACATTACCATTTTGAACGTTCAATTCAAACAAGACTGCATTGCAACTTATAATTATTGTTTCGAAAGATACTTAAGTGACTTTTGTGTGAAAAATGACTGCAGTTAATCTTTTAATAAAACGGGAGTGCAAACCATGCTTTATTACTTACACATTTTTTACAATACTCTATGTATAGTACTGTCTACTGCGAACATCTTTTTTTTAAAGAAAAACGTTGTCATTGCTTTCAAATGTTTTGTTTGATATAATTTCGTTTACTCGTTTGTCAATAGTTTTAGATTCTCGAAGATTATCAATCGATCATTTAAACTGTGAGACTTATCGCCAACTATGTAATAAACTAAACGATGAGTTATATCGCATGGATTGGAAAACACTAGCTGGAAAAATGAATTACTCATCTAGTAAATCATATCAAGTATTGTTTGAACATATAATTCAAAGTTATATATGTATAAATATGTATAACTTTGAATTACATTTAGACAATATACTTGATACAAAAACAGACGTACGTATTTTCATGTTATTTTTATGGTAGACGATGAAAGAAGTTTGGGTAAACTTCCAAAAACAGGTAGACAAGTCTTTTCAATATATGTTTACATGATGCTGATTTTTGATGATTCACGTAAACTACGAAATCTCATTTATCTTTTTTTGTTTTCCATAATGATGTATTTAATGAAGTACACCAATCTTCATCTTCTAATACAAAGGGTAATGCGCATTGTTGATAGTCATTGATGAAATTTTATAACTCTGTTGTTTACTTTTATATTTTGTCTGATTTATCTTTAGGAAAGAGAATACAAATACCATTTATTAGACAGCTTTTCATTCGAAGAACTAAACCCAAGGGAAAAGGTAATCCTGCGCGTGTTATCTACATGAGAATTAGTAGATTTTTCAAAAAAAAATTGTTAAAGAAATCTTTGGGACAAGCTTTCAAAAGAGTACGAGGAATATCATTTTTAAACTAGAATACCTGCGTCACTCACAGATTTATCTTTAGGAAAGAGGACGACGAAAACACCACCCAGATTGCATGACGAGGAAAAAGGTAAACATGTACATGCTGACATTTTCATCATTCTGTGAACTCACGTTAACTGATGCGCATGTTATCTACATGAGAATTAGCAGATTTTAAAAAAAAATTGTTAAAGAAATCTTTGGGACAAGCTTTCAAATGAGTACGAGGAATATCATTTTTAAACTAGAATACCTGCGTCACTCACAGATTTATCTTTAGGAAAGAGGACGACGAAAATACCACTTAGATTGCATGACGAGGAAAAAGATAAACATCTACTTGCTGATATTTTCATCATTCTGTGAACTCACGTTAACTGATTTTTCAGAACCACAAATTCCAAGAATAGATTTTTTCATCAGTTGTCAAGAAAGTGACAGGAGAGGTAATGAATAGAGAAAATGTTATGTTGAAACTTGAGTTCTTATATAACACATTAGAATGTTAGTTTTAGAAATATTATGATTGTAAAAGAAGTATATAGCCATGCTGTGCATTACAAGTCGGTGTGAGGGGATTTGTATTTCCGGAAGAATCTTCATACGTTGCAAACTGCATCTTTTTCCCGAGCTTCAGTTGTGTGTAGACTCCTGAATGTTGGACTTGCATATATCTCAAAAGTGTATTTTTTTAATACAGGATTGGGGTGGAGGTTGTGAACTAAGTTTGAAAATATTATAGACATTAAGACTTGATGATTTAGAGGAAGTAAAAGTCGTAACAAGTTTTCGTTAGGTAAACCTTCGGAAGGATCATCATTATTCATTATCATTTCGCTTGTGTTTCTTCTCCTAAAGAGCCCAATAATTTGTTTTTAAAATTTAAAGTTATTCGTCGCTAACTAAGTTTTTTTAATTTGAAAATAATGTGCAACGAATCGTTTAGGTAGCGTGTCATGTGTAAATGTTATACTATTGTTTTTATTTTTTTATTTTTTCATTATGCAGACGAGAAGTCAAAAGAACTTTCAAAAATAACAAGAGAAAGTTTTGGTGGACCCTCAAAAGAAGGTAGATACCACGTGTTTACCTTGTACTTTTGCACCTTATAACGAAATGGAAGGTGGACACTTTGTCGTTCTTAAATGGATAGATAGACGTGACGATCTCGAAGTTTTGTTATTACTTTTATGTTTTGTCTAATTTATCTTTAGGAAAGACGACAGAAAAAACACCCAAAAGGCGATTCTCCTATCCGTCAAAAGATTGCGAGGAAAAAGGTAAACATGTGCATGCTTATATTTTCATCATCATACTCATGTTGACTGGCTTTTCAAAACCACATTTTCTAGGAGTGTATTCTTCCTTCTATTTCTCGTCATTGCGGAGAGGTAATGAAGAGTGAAATAGCTCACTAAACAACAACTTAACCGTAATGCTAAGTTTTGTAATAAACATTCATGTTGTGATGTAATGTTTTATAATTGTATTTTCCGGCTGCTTTAGAAAAGCTTCATTCGACATATCAATCCGATGTTAATGTCAGTAATGTCGACAATGGTATCATGACTTCTAATTCAGAAAATGGTAAGTAATAAAATTTTGTTAACAAACATTTACTCAAATATCTATACACTACCATTTTGAACGTTCAATTCAAACAAGACTGCATTGCAACTTATAATTATTGTTTCGAAAGATACGTAAGTGACTTTTGTGAGATAAATGACTGCAGTTAATCTCTTTTAATCAACCGGAAGTGCAAACCAGGCTTTGATACTTACACATTTTTTATAATACTCTATGTAAAGTATTGTCCACTGCAAACATCTTTTTTTTAAAGAAAAACGTTGTCATTGCTTTCAAATGTTTTGTTTGATATAGTTTCGTTTACTTTTTTGTCAATAGTTTTAGATTCTCGAAGATTATCAATCGATCATTTAAACTGGGAGACTTATCGCCAACTATGTATTAGACTTAGCGACAAAATGGAAGACAAAGATTGGAGGACACTAGCTGGAAAAATGAATTTCACAACTGGTGAGGTTAGAGACTTCTCAAGAGAACGGAATCCTGCTGATGCGTTGCTTCAACACTGGAAGACGACAAGCATTAACCACGATGTTCCTGCTTTGATCAAATTGTTGAAGGAAATAAAGATAAACGATCTAGTGGATTTACTGGAATCATACCAAGACGATTATCAGTAATTTAAAATATCAGTCATCGTTTGTTACACCACGTAAATATTACTTACATGAACAATTTTTATCATTGTTTAGGAATACTTTTACCAGCATTACGTCATTGGTAAAAGATCAAACAAGTGACAGTAGAGGTAACCAAGAGTGAAATAACTAACGAGTTAATACTTTAATTTTGAAGCGATGTCTTGACTGTTTAGTAATAAACATATTATACCTGTAATGTTAAATATTTGTATCGTTTTGCCTTCTAAAGAAAGGAAATCTTTGCCATATCAATCTGATGATAAGGATAGTAATGTCGACATTGATATCATGACTTCTAATTCAGAAAGTGGTAAGTAATAAAATTTTGTTAACAAACATTTACTCAAATATCTATACATTACCATTTTGAACGTTCAATTCAAACAAGACTGCATTGCAACTTATAATTATTGTTTCGAAAGATACTTAAGTGACTTTTGTGTGAAAAATGACTGCAGTTAATCTTTTAATAAAACGGGAGTGCAAACCATGCTTTATTACTTACACATTTTTTACAATACTCTATGTATAGTACTGTCTACTGCGAACATCTTTTTTTTAAAGAAAAACGTTGTCATTGCTTTCAAATGTTTTGTTTGATATAATTTCGTTTACTCGTTTGTCAATAGTTTTAGATTCTCGAAGATTATCAATCGATCATTTAAACTGTGAGACTTATCGCCAACTATGTAATAAACTAAACGATGAGTTATATCGCATGGATTGGAAAACACTAGCTGGAAAAATGAATTACTCATCTAGTAAATCATATCAAGTATTGTTTGAACATATAATTCAAAGTTATATATGTATAAATATGTATAACTTTGAATTACATTTAGACAATATACTTGATACAAAAAACAGACGTACGTATTTTTCATGTTATTTTTTATGGTAGACGATGAAAGAAGTTTGGGTAAACTTCCAAAAACAGGTAGACAAGTCTTTTCAATATATGTTTACATGATGCTGATTTTTGATGATTCACGTAAACTACGAAATCTCATTTATCTTTTTTTGTTTTCCATAATGATGTATTTAATGAAGTACACCAATCTTCATCTTCTAATACAAAGGGTAATGCGCATTGTTGATAGTCATTGATGAAATTTTATAACTCTGTTGTTTACTTTTATATTTTGTCTGATTTATCTTTAGGAAAGAGAATACAAATACCATTTATTAGACAGCTTTTCATTCGAAGAACTAAACCCAAGGGAAAAGGTAATCCTGCGCGTGTTATCTACATGAGAATTAGTAGATTTTTCAAAAAAAAATTGTTAAAGAAATCTTTGGGACAAGCTTTCAAAAGAGTACGAGGAATATCATTTTTAAACTAGAATACCTGCGTCACTCACAGATTTATCTTTAGGAAAGAGGACGACGAAAACACCACCCAGATTGCATGACGAGGAAAAAGGTAAACATGTACATGCTGACATTTTCATCATTCTGTGAACTCACGTTAACTGATGCGCATGTTATCTACATGAGAATTAGCAGATTTTAAAAAAAAATTGTTAAAGAAATCTTTGGGACAAGCTTTCAAATGAGTACGAGGAATATCATTTTTAAACTAGAATACCTGCGTCACTCACAGATTTATCTTTAGGAAAGAGGACGACGAAAATACCACTTAGATTGCATGACGAGGAAAAAGATAAACATCTACTTGCTGATATTTTCATCATTCTGTGAACTCACGTTAACTGATTTTTCAGAACCACAAATTCCAAGAATAGATTTTTTCATCAGTTGTCAAGAAAGTGACAGGAGAGGTAATGAATAGAGAAAATGTTATGTTGAAACTTGAGTTCTTATATAACACATTAGAATGTTAGTTTTAGAAATATTATGATTGTAAAAGAAGTATATAGCCATGCTGTGCATTACAAGTCGGTGTGAGGGGATTTGTATTTCCGGAAGAATCTTCATACGTTGCAAACTGCATCTTTTTCCCGAGCTTCAGTTGTGTGTAGACTCCTGAATGTTGGACTTGCATATATCTCAAAAGTGTATTTTTTTAATACAGGATTGGGGTGGAGGTTGTGAACTACGTTTGAAAATATTATAGACATTAAGACTTGATGATTTAGAGGAAGTAAAAGTCGTAACAAGTTTTCGTTAGGTAGACCTGCGAAAGGATCATCATTATTCATTATCATTTCGCTTGTGTTTCTTCTCCTAAAGAGCCCAATAATTTGTTTTTAAAATTTAAAGTTATTCGTCGCTAACTAAGTTTTTTTAATTTGAAAATAATGTTCAACGAGTCGTTTAGGTAGCGTGTCATGTGTAAATGTTATACTATTGTTTCTATTTTTTTATTTTTTTATTTTTCATTATGCAGACGAGAAGTCAAAAGAACTTTCAAAAATAACAAGAGAAAGTTTTGGTGGACCCTCAAAAGAAGGTAGATACCACGTGTTTACCTTGTACTTTTGCACCTTATAACGAAATGGAAGGTGGACACTTTGTCGTTCTTAAATGGATAGATAGACGTGACGATCTCGAAGTTTTGTTATTACTTTTATGTTTTGTCTAATTTATCTTTAGGAAAGATGACAGAAAAAACATCCAAAAGGCGATTCTCCTATCCGTCAAAAGATTGCGAGGAAAAAGGTAAACATGTGCATGCTTATATTTTCATCATCATACTCATGTTGACTGGCTTTTCAAAACCACATTTTCTAGGAGTGTATTCTTCCTTCTATTTCTCGTCATTGCGGAGAGGTAATGAAGAGTGAAATAGCTCACTAAACAACAACTTAACCGTAATGCTAAGTTTTGTAATAAACATTCATGTTGTGATGTAATGTTTTATAATTGTATTTTCCGGCTGCTTTAGAAAAGCTTCATTCGACATATCAATCCGATGTTAATGTCAGTAATGTCGACAATGGTATCATGACTTCTAATTCAGAAAATGGTAAGTAATAAAATTTTGTTAACAAACATTTACTCAAATATCTATACACTACCATTTTGAACGTTCAATTCAAACAAGACTGCATTGCAACTTATAATTATTGTTTCGAAAGATACGTAAGTGACTTTTGTGAGATAAATGACTGCAGTTAATCTCTTTTAATCAACCGGAAGTGCAAACCAGGCTTTGATACTTACACATTTTTTATAATACTCTATGTAAAGTATTGTCCACTGCAAACATCTTTTTTTTAAAGAAAAACGTTGTCATTGCTTTCAAATGTTTTGTTTGATATAGTTTCGTTTACTTTTTTGTCAATAGTTTTAGATTCTCGAAGATTATCAATCGATCATTTAAACTGGGAGACTTATCGCCAACTATGTATTAGACTTAGCGACAAAATGGAAGACAAAGATTGGAGGACACTAGCTGGAAAAATGAATTTCACAACTGGTGAGGTTAGAGACTTCTCAAGAGAACGGAATCCTGCTGATGCGTTGCTTCAACACTGGAAGACGACAAGCATTAACCACGATGTTCCTGCTTTGATCAAATTGTTGAAGGAAATAAAGATAAACGATCTAGTGGATTTACTGGAATCATACCAAGACGATTATCAGTAATTTAAAATATCAGTCATCGTTTGTTACACCACGTAAATATTACTTACATGAACAATTTTTATCATTGTTTAGGAATACTTTTACCAGCATTACGTCATTGGTAAAAGATCAAACAAGTGACAGTAGAGGTAACCAAGAGTGAAATAACTAACGAGTTAATACTTTAATTTTGAAGCGATGTCTTGACTGTTTAGTAATAAACATATTATACCTGTAATGTTAAATATTTGTATCGTTTTGCCTTCTAAAGAAAGGAAATCTTTGCCATATCAATCTGATGATAAGGATAGTAATGTCGACATTGATATCATGACTTCTAATTCAGAAAGTGGTAAGTAATAAAATTTTGTTAACAAACATTTACTCAAATATCTATACATTACCATTTTGAACGTTCAATTCAAACAAGACTGCATTGCAACTTATAATTATTGTTTCGAAAGATACTTAAGTGACTTTTGTGTGAAAAATGACTGCAGTTAATCTTTTAATAAAACGGGAGTGCAAACCATGCTTTATTACTTACATTTTTACAATACTCTATGTATAGTACTGTCTACTGCGAACATCTTTTTTTTAAAGAAAAACGTTGTCATTGCTTTCAAATGTTTTGTTTGATATAATTTCGTTTACTCGTTTGTCAATAGTTTTAGATTCTCGAAGATTATCAATCGATCATTTAAACTGTGAGACTTATCGCCAACTATGTAATAAACTAAACGATGAGTTATATCGCATGGATTGGAAAACACTAGCTGGAAAAATGAATTACTCATCTAGTAAATCATATCAAGTATTGTTTGAACATATAATTCAAAGTTATATATGTATAAATATGTATAACTTTGAATTACATTTAGACAATATACTTGATACAAAAACAGACGTACGTATTTTCATGTTATTTTTATGGTAGACGATGAAAGAAGTTTGGGTAAACTTCCAAAAACAGGTAGACAAGTCTTTTCAATATATGTTTACATGATGCTGATTTTTGATGATTCACGTAAACTACGAAATCTCATTTATCTTTTTTTGTTTTCCATAATGATGTATTTAATGAAGTACACCAATCTTCATCTTCTAATACAAAGGGTAATGCGCATTGTTGATAGTCATTGATGAAATTTTATAACTCTGTTGTTTACTTTTATATTTTGTCTGATTTATCTTTAGGAAAGAGAATACAAATACCATTTATTAGACAGCTTTTCATTCGAAGAACTAAACCCAAGGGAAAAGGTAATCCTGCGCGTGTTATCTATATGAGAATTAGTAGATTTTTCAAAAAAAAAAAATTGTTAAAGAAATCTTTGGGACAAGCTTTCAAAAGAGTACGAGGAATATCATTTTTTAAACTAGAATACCTGCGTCACTCACAGATTTATCTTTAGGAAAGAGGACGACGAAAATACCACTTAGATTGCATGACGAGGAAAAAGATAAACATCTACTTGCTGATATTTTCATCATTCTGTGAACTCACGTTAACTGATTTTTCAGAACCACAAATTCCAAGAATAGATTTTTTCATCAGTTGTCAAGAAAGTGACAGGAGAGGTAATGAATAGAGAAAATGTTATGTTGAAACTTGAGTTCTTATATAACACATTAGAATGTTAGTTTTAGAAATATTATGATTGTAAAAGAAGTATATAGCCATGCTGTGCATTACAAGTCGGTGTGAGGGATTTGTATTTCCGGAAGAATCTTCATACGTTGCAAACTGCATCTTTTCCCGAGCTTCAGTTGTGTGTAGACTCCTGAATGTTGGACTTGCATATATCTCAAAAGTGTATTTTTTTAATACAGGATTGGGGTGGAGGTTGTGAACTACGTTTGAAAATATTATAGACATTAAGACTTGATGATTTAGAGGAAGTAAAAGTCGTAACAAGTTTTCGTTAGGTAGACCTGCGAAAGGATCATCATTATTCATTATCATTTCGCTTGTGTTTCTTCTCCTAAAGAGCCCAATAATTTGTTTTTAAAATTTAAAGTTATTCGTCGCTAACTAAGTTTTTTTAATTTGAAAATAATGTTCAACGAGTCGTTTAGGTAGCGTGTCATGTGTAAATGTTATACTATTGTTTCTATTTTTTTATTTTTTTATTTTTCATTATGCAGACGAGAAGTCAAAAGAACTTTCAAAAATAACAAGAGAAAGTTTTGGTGGACCCTCAAAAGAAGGTAGATACCACGTGTTTACCTTGTACTTTTGCACCTTATAACGAAATGGAAGGTGGACACTTTGTCGTTCTTAAATGGATAGATAGACGTGACGATCTCGAAGTTTTGTTATTACTTTTATGTTTTGTCTAATTTATCTTTAGGAAAGATGACAGAAAAAACATCCAAAAGGCGATTCTCCTATCCGTCAAAAGATTGCGAGGAAAAAGGTAAACATGTGCATGCTTATATTTTCATCATCATACTCATGTTGACTGGCTTTTCAAAACCACATTTTCTAGGAGTGTATTCTTCCTTCTATTTCTCGTCATTGAGAGGTAATGAAGAGTGAAATAGCTCACTAAACAACAACTTAACCGTAATGCTAAGTTTTGTAATAAACATTCATGTTGTGATGTAATGTTTTATAATTGTATTTTCCGGCTGCTTTAGAAAAGCTTCATTCGACATATCAATCCGATGTTAATGTCAGTAATGTCGACAATGGTATCGTGACTTCTAATTCAGAAAATGGTAAGTAATAAAATTTTGTTAACAAACATTTACTCAAATATCTATACACTACCATTTTGAACGTTCAATTCAAACAAGACTGCATTGCAACTTATAATTATTGTTTCGAAAGATACGTAAGTGACTTTTGTGAGATAAATGACTGCAGTTAATCTCTTTTAATCAACCGGAAGTGCAAACCAGACTTTATTACTTACACATTTTTTATAATACACTATGTAAAGTACGAAAACTTACACAGGGTGTATGAAAAACTGAACAGTTAGGAAAACTTACACAGGAAGTATGAAAAACTGAACAGTTAGAACAACGTACACAGGGTATATAAATAACTGAACAGTTAGGAAAACTTACACAGGCTGTATAAAAACTGAACAGTTAGGAAAACTTACACAGGGTGTAAAAAACTGAACAGTTAGGAAAACTTACACAGGGTGTATAAAAACTGAACAGTTAGGAAAACTTACACAGGGTGTATAAAAAACTGAACAGTTAGGAAAACTTACACAGGGTGTATAAAAAACCGAACAGTTAGGAAAACTGACACAGGGTGTATAAAAAACTGAACAGTTAAGAAAACTTACACAGGGTGTATAAAAAACTGAACAGTTAAGAAAACTTACACAGGGTGTATAAAAAACTGAACAGTTAGGAAAACTTACAGGGTATATAAAAAACTGAACAGTTAGGAAAACTTACACAAGGTGTATAAAAAACTGAACATTTAGAAAACTTAAACAGAGTGTATAAAAAACTGAACAGTTACGAAAACTTACACAGGTTGTATAAAAAACTGAACAGTTAGGAAAACTTACACAGGTTGTATAAAAAACTGAGCAGTTAGGAAAACTTACACAGGGTGTATAAAAAACTGAACAGTTAGGAAAACTTACAGGGTATATAAAAAACTGAACAGTTAGGAAAACTTACACAAGGTGTATAAAAAACTGAACATTTAGAAAACTTAAACAGAGTCTATAAAAAACTGAACAGTTACGAAAACTTACACAGGGTGTATAAAAAACTGAACAGTTAGGAAAACTTACACAGGGTGTATAAAAACTGAACAGTTAGGAAAACTTACACAGAGTGTGTAAAAATTTGAACAGTTAGGAAAACTTACACAGGGTGTATAAAAAACTGAACAGTTAGGAAAACTTGCACAAGGTGTATAAAAAACTGAACATTTAGAAAACTTAAACAGAGTGTATAAAAAACTTAACAGTTACGAAAACTTACACAGGGTGTATAAAAAACTGAACAGTTAGGAAAACGTACACAGGGTGTATAAAAAACTGAACAGTTAGGAAAACCTACACAGGGTGTATAAAAACTGAACAGTTAGGAAAACTTACACAGAGTGTATAAAAAACTGAACAGTTAGGAAAACTTACACAGGGTGTATAAAAAACTGAACAGTTAGGAAAACTTACACAGGGTGTATAAAAAACTGAACAGTTAGGAAAACTTACACAAGTTGTATAAAAAACTGAACAGTTAGGAAAACTTACACAGAGTTTATAAAAAACTGAACAGTTAGGAAAACTTACACAAGGTGTATAAAAAACTGAACAGTTAGGAAAACTTACACAGGGTGTATAAAAAACTGAACAGTTAGGAAAACTTACACAGGGTGTATAAAAAACTGAACAGTTAGGAAAACTTACACAGGTTGTATAAAAAACTGAACAGTTAGGAAAACTTACACAAGGTGTATAAAAAACTGAACAGTTAGGAAAACTTACACAGGGTGTATAAAAAACTGAACAGTTAGGAAAACTTATACAGGGTGTATAAAAAACTGAACAATTAAGAAAACTTACACAGGGTGTATAAAAAACTGAACAGTTAGGAAAAATTACACAGTGTGTATAAAAAACTGATTATTTTTCATTTTTCTTCTCGAAATTCTATTTTTTTAAAAGCTTGTTGTTTTAGATACATGTATATTTTGTCTTTACTATAAATATCAGGAGATTTTTGTTTTCATTAAAGCAGACCTTGCGAGGTCTGCCAAAATGCATTGATCATTTAATTTATCTTAATGTTGGTTTTCAATAGTTCTTTTTAAAAACATATACCAAGGTTATAGTTGTAATTTACCATGGTAAATATGCTCTTCAAACCAGTATTTAGTTTTCTTACCTTAACCAAGGCTTTGTTTTATATAACTTAAAAATTGTACTGTTTTCATTGTTATGTTTTTATGTATAATCATGAAATATCCTTATGTTAATTTTGTTTATGGTTGTTTATGCCTGGTTATGTTCACTATATCCAAAGTTGCTTCATTTTAAGAAGTTATTCGTCTGTTATATGTTATGAGTTTATGAACAATAAGATAGTCATTTTGACCTATAATGTGTAAGTTGAAAAATAATGTGTAAGTCTTTTTTCTGTTGCAGATGATTTTCCTCGACTTGATGGTTAGTATGGGCGTGTAATTAACTATTGACGAATGCTTATTGATAATGCATAAATGAAAAACAGTTTTGTAATGTGAAAGTAAAATTTACTCACATTTTTATTGCTGTCTTGCATGTGTTAAACAATCTTTATATAATCTCTCACGTTTTTTACGTTTGCCCATAAATCAGCGCAGCACTTTTTAGGAGTAAAGGATATATTTTAAATTTACGTTGATGCAACTGAAGTATGATTGTTACTTGACGTTTTATTTTGTACTTTCTTTCTCCTCTCGTTTGCCCAGGAAACATTCTGTTATTTGAGTTTGTTCGTCTCTAAGTATTAAAATTTTACAATTTTAAGATGTGTCAGTTAACTTATTTAACCAATTACTTTTACAAAGTAGAGTTATATGCTGGTTTGTTTGGTATCATATTTGGTATTATTATTCACTATGCAAGCAATGTTGAATAGAAACGTTGCTTCTTAAATAACTCCTATTTTAATATTTTTCACTGTTATATGTTATTTATTGTAACTTTTCATCTTTTCCTGTAAACAATAAAATACACATATTGCATGCCCAGGCTTGCATTCATGTGTTCAAAAATCAATGTAGGTTTTTTTATACTCTAGTACTGTCCCACCGTTAAATACATTTAAACAAGGGGAAAACAACTACTAGTTATTATATCGTTCGACACTGTACATAAATGTAATATAATCATTAAGTTGAAGACAAGTTAATTTTTTTTACATTCACACAACGAAAATACAAATGGTGCGTTAAAATTTCTATTTTGTATATTTCTCTATCCGCTGGTTTATCCAGTAAATATTCAAATATGGGTTTGTATGGTTATGCATGTACGGCAATATAAGGATGTATTAGTAAAGAATAGTTTTATTAGTAAAAGTTATTTTTTCCCTTAATAAGGTAAGGCTCAAAAAAACATTCACATAACCAACATTCTTTTTTGCAAAATCAAACATTATTTTCATTACGAATTGATTTGCATTAATGCAACTGAAATAGCTACAATATGTTTCGTGCATTTCAGGTGTAGACCTTCATGTATGTAGATGAAATTTTAAATTTATGTTTACTCCTCCCTAAGTTTTAAAATTTTACGATTTTAATTATGTGATAACCTGTGAATTTATGATAAGACGTTTTCCCTGTTTATACAATTCTATACTTTTCATCAAAAACATCTATCCTGAAAACCATTTTTTTGAAAACGGTCTTTTAAATCAATTAGTTATTTTCTATTTTTTAAAAATGTATTTTTTACCTCAATTGCTTGTCTCTAGACTATAACTATAGGTACCAAATGTATTCCACAAAAAAAAGGGTTTTAATGTTTTTCTCCATTTCTGCCACTTAATAAACGTAGGAGGCATTAATTTATTTGTCTTTTGCAACTGCATGTATAACTTACATTGTACTAATGATAAAATTTGTTTCGTTTACAATCATGTTTAGAAGTAAGCATAATTCAATTTTTTATAATGAAATACCTATATTAAGCCACACGTTTTTAACGGTTCTTTTTGCACTTCCCTGTTAAGTTCTAAATCAGATATATCTTGTGTAAAAGTAAACATAAAATTGTTTTTCTTTTTTTGTTTTGATAATACAGAAGAGGAGGAAAGAAAACGTCGTAAAGGTTGGTATCTTCATGCAGCCTAATTACGGTTTAGGGTATTTTAGGTTTGACAATATACACAGCTTAGCTTTGCTTCAATTTATAATCAATGAAAAATCAAGTGAGTATATTGTGTAGTGAGAGGTCTGGGGAGTAAAGTTGAGGGATCTTTGTAATATTGATATAAATTTTTCTCAATGTTTATTTTAGCTGTTCCAAAAACAGAGAAAATTGGACTTTTGGATCAAAAGGATAAAGGTAAAGGTCACATGATGCTACAATTTGGTGCTATATATCTCATCTTAATAAATTTTCATTATTTATTAACAGAGTGCTTGCAAAGAAAGCTAAAATTCCTTGATATGAACACAGCTACCTGCAGTCTGATTTGTAAAAAAATGATGGATAATAATGATGTTGGTATGGGATATTCCACTTTGGCAGGGAAAATGAACTTTTCTCATTGTGACATGAAAGATTTTAAAAGTACATCAAACCCTTGTGAGGAAATAATCAGTTGCTGGAGTAACAAAGATGAAAAACACAATGTTATCGAATTATTGAAGATGATTGAGGATATGAAAAGAGCAGATGTTGCTGACTTGTTGAGAAAGGAGTTAATAAAGAAAAAGAATGAATGTGGTTGTGAAAAGTGTATTGATTTTATGACTATGAAGAAAAATGAAGGTCAGTAGAGTAGTCAACTGTATTTTGCTTTACTAATGTATTTTGTGCGTTACAATAAAATAATCAATTTAGCCTGTCGAGTGTTAATGTAAAAATAATATTTGTTTTTCTCTATTTAAAATCGTGGCCAGAGATTTGCCAGGCGGAAAGCGAATTTTGTTCTGTTCAGGTGCCATGCATGATGCATGCTTGGGCTACCATGTCTCTCCAACGTTGACGGTTACGAGCACAGGCAAAGATTTCTGCAGTGTTGGCGATTCCGGTAACTTTCTTAACTCTGTCCAAATACGTTATGCGTTGACGGCCTCGTGCTCTTTTCCCTTCGATTTTTCCTTGCAGCGCAACACATTCCAGGCCTTCCTTCCGAACTACGTGGCCAAGAAAACGAAGTTGTCTCTCAATTATTACGGAGAGTAGTTCTCTCTTCACACCGGCTCTTCTCATAACCTCTTCATTTGAGACGTGATCAATAAATGACACTTTCAATATCCTTCTCAAAAATCACATTTCTGCTGCTTCTAAGTTTTTCTCCAGGTCAGCAGTTAGAGTCCAGGCTTCACAGCCGTAAGTCAAGATTGACCAAATGTAGCATTTGAGTAATCGTATTTTGAGTGGCATTGATAAGTTTCGGTTGACAAAGATGGATCGCAAGTCTTGAAATTTCAATTTTGCAACAGCAATTCTCTTCTTCACTTCCTTTTTGCACCTCACATCGGTCGTCAGCAGACTTCCAAGGTAGTTGAAGCTTTCCTTCTCCTCAATATGGTCGTTGCCAATTCTCAAGTAACAGTGGGGCTTTTCTGCAAGTTTGCTGACTACCATCGATTTGGTTTTATCACAGTTGATAGTCAGGCCCATTTCAGCGCTCGCTTCCACAACCTGGTCTAATAGTGCTTGCAGTTGTTCTTCAGTGGTTGCAATCAAAACAGTGTCATCCGCATAACGAAGATTATTGAAATTCACACCGCCAACCTTCAGTCCGACCATGTCTATGATGGTGCGGAGGATCATCTCACTGTAAAGATTAAAAAAGTCGGGAGATTGGACGCAACCTTGTCGTAAACCACGCGAGATTTGTATCCAAACCGAAAGAATATCTTCCACTCGGATGGCCGCTTCCTGATTCCAGTACAAATTTCTGATCAATTGAATGTCTTTCCCATCAATGCTGAGTTCTTGCAGAAGTTTCAGGAGCTTCTCGTGCTGAACTTTGTCGAACGCTTTAACGTAGTCGATGAAACATAGGAACACCACTTGTTGATGTTGAATAGCCCTCTCACAAAGCATCCGAAGAGTGAAAATGGCGTTCCTTGTGCCTTTATCGGGCATAAAACCAAACTGCTCATCTGCGATCTCAGGCCGCAGTTTTGTTCTGACTCGTTCAAGAATGATGGTGAGGAGAAGTTTCACAGAGTGGCTCATAATACTGATGGTACGATGGTCCTTGCACTCGGTAGCGCCGGGTTTCTTAGGCAGCGCAATGAAGACCGAGCGAAGAAAGTCGTCTGGAAGTTCACCGGTATCATATGCGTGATTGAATTTTAATATGAACATAATAGCCCAACATAAGACTTTTAAAAAAGCCATCACAATAATAAAATAGAGAAGGATTTATTAATAACGTTTCGTCTTTAACTTAAGACATCTTCGGATTATTTGAGTTAATTTATATACACGAGGTTTTAAATACAAGCATATATTACAGGGTGTTAAATTACATGTGAGGGAAGTAGGAAGTTTAGATGACGGAATTAAATGAAAATGGCGGTATATTAAAGAAGGTAAAGGGGGATTGAGTTGCCTTGGGTGTTAAGAGAGGGTTCAAGTTTGGATATAAGAAGGCTTTCATGAATCATAAGGTCATAATTGTCGGAGGAGGAAGAGATTTTGATTAAGACAAATATAAAAAGTTGCAATTGTTATTTGAACTAAAAAAACTTTAAAAAATAGCTACAAATACTTTTAATTGGAAAAAATATTAAAACTTTTAGGCATTGAAAAAAATATGTTTAGCATAAATAATATATAAATAATCGTAATACTGACCAAAATGAGGTGCTTAATTGTCTGTGGGTGATGATGGAGTTATTTGTTATGATAATTATATACAAATGCTGCACCATGAAAAATAGGTGTGTGTTTTATTTTTGAAAGATATTAAGTATGTGGAGTAAACATGAGTTTTTATATTGTATTTTTCAGATTCCAATGGGTAAAACAGATTGTGCTCAACCGATGCTTTATGCCATTGACAAAAATTTGAAGATTGATGTTTTTATTGTTTACACAAACTCTGAAACACATCATGGCGATGTTCATCCAAGGGAGGCTCTCCAACAATACCGTCTGCATTCAGGGATTCACGATGCTAAACTCATTCTGGTTGCTATGACATCAAATGGTTTCACTATTGCTGACCCAAATGATCCTAGAATGCTTGATATAGTTGGCTTTGACTCTGCTGCACTGCAAGTGATGAGAGAGTTTATCGTGCAGAGTCTTTAGAAGTTTTTAGTGAACATCTCTGTATTTTCTCCATATCGAAGTCCTCATTATGATACGGCAAAAATTCATAATTTTTGATATCTCAAGTTGAATGTTGCATGTGGTCGTAAAAGTTGCTTCGTTCATGTTTGCGGGCATGAATTTTGTAAACGTCAATCACCATGTTATGGTATTTTCCCTAAAAAAAAAACTTTAGAAAAACACGGGAAAACTAAAAGCAGGATAGCCAACAGTCTGAACTACATCCCGTGTTTTATTCATCTCTACAATGAACTTCGTTGTTTGTACAAAGTCAATTTGTCAATTTATCCATATTTCTCATGCCTTGCCTTACAAAAGACAATTTTCGCAATTATTCGCGAGTTATCACTTATTTAATGATAAGCTTTTCGTCTTGAAAGAAGAATTTTTATCAAATTATTTTTATTTTGATGCCTATTTAAATTACAAATTAAACTATTTCACAATCTATTTAATTTTTGATTGTTAAGCTCCACAAAAAAAATGACTCAGGAGTGGGGAAGCTATGTACGCTCGGAAACTTCCAATTTTTAGATTGTGAGCATCTTTTATAAGATTTGATAAAAAATGGAATACATGGTTTATACAGATGTGCCAACTTTTCAATTAGGGTGACGTGATGCAGTTAAACAAGAAAAAAATCGAATCAAATATCAAAAAATTTATCACACTAGTTTAACTATTGTGAATTACCACATAGTTAACATGGCACACACACAACTTTTCGAAGCCCCTGCGGTTGAATGTATTGTTTTATATGCAACTGTATATTATATAATTCTGGGCTTGTTTTCTTGTTCTACCGACAGAAAATCCCAGAAGAAAAGAGATGTCTGCTCGAAATATCAAGGTGTATGTAAGAACCAAACCTAGTCAATGATATGAGCCTGAGAGTATTTTCCAAACTTATTGTTGTGAATTGATTTAATGCTTTTTGTTCATGTTTTGTACTCCAACTTTCTAGAATAAGTTATTGGTTGAAAGAACGATTGTTGGCAATACATTCAGCAGCTTTACCAGTCAATGTTGCGCTTTTAAACATAAAAATATAACAACCATTGCCAGCAAGACTTCACTAAAGTGCGTCCGTTATCAAACAAAGGGTTGTCTAATAAGGATGTGGATATTATGTACATTGTCATTGTTAAGAAGGAAGATTTTCAGCATTTTGGTATAAATCATATTGTATGATGCAAATGACAAGCTTTCAAAATTCGAACAGCTAGCGCACTGCAGGGCGTTCGTAGCGAGTAGAATGAGACTTATTAATTAAACTCAGGGTTTGAAGTTATTTTCCAGAATGCAGTCTATGTTTAAGGTTTTAGCAAGTTTGTAGATTCCGGGGACTCAGTAGCATATTCATAAAAAACTGAAGGAAGTCACGGTCCATTCCTATCTCGAAATACGTTTTTTTAAACAAAATTAAAATCGACTAAAACAGAACATCTCTCCTTGTACCTAGTGCATGGTATTTTATAACTGTTTGGGACTCCTACAATTCATTGACCTGTTATCAATTAGGATCATGAGATTGAGACGAAAATCTTCACGACCATAATTAAAGATAAGTTAGGTGAGACAGCGTAAGGCAGCTGGTAAAGGCCGTTGAGACTTCAGTGGTCTGGGGACAAGTAAGATGATTACATAAATTTTAATTTTTTTAAGTGGAAACATGGCTTTTAAATGTTGGTAAAATGTTGGCAATAATAAAAATAAATATTTACGAAATGAACTTACATGAAAATAGTTTTATAACCATTAAGCTAGTTAAGTAAAGGAGAAATACATTTTTATAGGTTTTATTATCTGTGGATTTTACAATGATTCACAGTTTGTTTATCATCAACCATTCAGGGTGAGTCGGTAGTGACAATATGTATTGGTTTTATATTTGTTTGCTCTCAAAGCTCTTCTCTTGGTTTTGTGCGTATCAGCTTATGATTATTGTGAGAAGTACTTTAATATTATTTGAATGAGGTAAGATGAGATTAGTTTCAATATGATATTAAAGGAAAGTCTGAACAATGCTGACATTGAACAGGATTAATACTCAGAAAAAATAAAGAATGTCATGAAAATCGTGCAATATTACCTGATATCTGTACATTTAATAGTGTTGAAGTCAGTTGGATGATGCCTTTTGATGATTTCAGCTTCCTCAATTGTTTAGTTATCACAACTTTACACCAAATGGGTTACTGTAAGTCACTAGGTCATATGATGTTTTTGATGTACATTTAGGGATATATTTCTGGAAAAACATTGGAGAAGTGTTTTGGGACGCTCTGTTTGTGATTATTTCTTTGAAGCTCTAGGAAAGGTAAATGAATATATGTGTAAATTGTTGTTTGTGCTTGTTTAGTTGAGAAGTTTTAAGGTACTTTCATCAACGGTTTTCATGTTATATTTGTCTGACAAAAATGCTCCTAAACAAATTAAATACCATCGTTTATGTTCAGGCTACTTCTCCAGAAGACATTCCTCCTGTAATTGCAACAGGATTCAGTTATCTCATCAGTATATTTCGCCATGATCTCTTCTTTGTTTCTGTTGTTGAAAATGAAGGTTTGTGTTTATATTAAGTTTAGTTAATGTTTTATTAATGTTTATTTTGAATCAATTGCCTCTACTCCTATCAAGAGATTGATTGCTAGTTTTAATTTAAAAAGTATGCATTACATTGCAAAGAAGTGTTATCACTCAACAAAAGGCATTGCATTATGCATTCTTAGTGGTAGGTAAAAATAATTTAGCCTTCATATCATCAACATGTGGTGAACACTTTCATGATTATTATTGTTGATGAATTGAAAACATTCCTTTCCAGTTCCACCTTTGTTTGTGATTGAATTTCTTCATCGAGTGGTTGACTTAATCAAGGAATATTTCTCTTACTGTACTGAAACAATCATTAAAGAAAATTGTGTCATTGTATATGAGGTTTGAGATTATAATATATATAATATAATATAATGTAATATAAGGACTTTATTTGAAGAGGGGGACACGTAACAGCTAAAAAGCTGACAAACCTGTGGCCCTCCAACTAGATTATACAGCATTACAAAAACTGATAAATGAATAAATATATAAATAATTACAAAATTCTATGATAAAAATAGCAGGACATATTAAAAATATTCAGAAAGATAAAATTAATTTATAAAAAATTAAAATTAAAGTTAGGTAGTGTGCTATTGCTTAATATTGTTTCAAAGTTGTCCAGGTTTTTATATGAGCTTATAAAATGCTTTTTCACAGCTGTTTTGAATAGATTTATACTAGGCTTTTTTTTTGATATCATGGGGAAGGCTGTTCCATAACTTAACTGCGTCAACACTGAATGCCTTGCCACCATCGTTATTTCTTAGGTATTTGGGACACACTAAATTTAAATTGCCATGTCTCGTGGACCTATTGTGAACAGAACTGTTCGTCTTGAACAAATCTTTGATATAAATAGGAACATGGCATTTGAGGCTCTTAAAAATCATGGCACATTTGTTTAGTTTTATTTCGTCAAAAAAAGGCAACCAGCCTAGTTTACTAAAGTTTACAACACTTCTAGAATAAGGGTCTACTCCAAGAATTACTCAGGCAGCCCTTTTCTGTAACCTTAGGAGACAGTGGAGTTCTTTAACGTCGCAGGTATTCCAAACCATGCTCCCGTACATAAGGACGGGTTTAATCAAGGCGTTATAGTATAAAAGTCTTTCTTTTGTTGGAAGGTATCTCTTTATCTTTTTCAATAAACCAATACGCTGAGAAAGCTTAGCCTTTAGGCTAGAAATGTGGTCACTAAATGTAAGATCTTGATCGAGTGTTACACCAAGCAATTTATAAGAGGTTACTTGTTCTATTTCGGCCCCATCAAGGGTCACTACAGGTGATTGCCATCAACTAATGATGAATGTAGCCTCTTTCCGGTGATAATAAATGCTTTGGTTTTAACAGCGTTTAGGACCATCCCATTTCGCTAGACCATTTACTTAATTTATCCATGTATTCTTGAAGACGTCGTTCCAATTCCAATGGTGCATTATCGATATTAGCGCTGGCTTTAAATGTGATGTCATCCGCGTAAGCATGAATAGTTGAGTCCGATCCAACAGCTTCGCGAAGATCATTGACGAAAATTAAAACCAGTAGAGGTCCTAATATGCTACCTTGAGGAACTCCATTGGTTAGCATAAGTTGTGACGAAGTCGAGTTGTTTACAGTGACACACTGTTTGCGATTGAGTAGATAGCTCTGCAATAGCTTTACAACATTATCTGGAAATCCATATGATCTTAACTTTACTAGGAGAATCATATGGATTTCCAGATAATGTTGTAAAGCTATTGCAGAGCTATCTACTCAATCGCAAACAGTGTGTCACTGTAAACAACTCGACTTCGTCACAACTTATGCTAACCAATGGAGTTCCTCAATTAGTATATTTTGTAGAGAATCCAGCTGTTTGATAGATGAATTTCAATTTTTTCTGTTGTGTGATGTAAAATATGATGTTATATCTTTATATTCTTCAGTTATTGGAAGAGACGTTGGATAGTGGATTCCCTCTTGCTACAGAGTCAATTGTCCTTAAAGAGTTGATAAGACCTCCTAGTATAGTTAGAAATGTTGTTAATAAAGTGACTGGAGACAGCAAGTAAGAACCTTCTTTATAGTAAACATACAAGCCATGTTTTTATGTAGTGATCTATATGTTGTTCATATAAGGATCAGATATAAATATAAAGCAAATCCGTGAAACCACTAAACATTTCTATATTTGCATTGTTATTTATATGCAACTTACTACAATATTTAGTTAATTTGTTTTAGTTTACACATTTATGATGATTCTACATATAATTTATGTTAAATATTTCATATTTTCCTAGTATGAGCAGTCATCTCCCAACTGGTCAATTGTCCAATGTTCCATGGAGGAGAACTGGTGTAAAATATGCAAATAATGAGGTACGTAGCTATATTCACAATGTTCCATTAAGAAATTTGAAAGAAAATCCTTTTTTATGCTTTGTTTTAGTTGTAATGTGATGAGTGAACTTTTTTCTTTTGTTAATTAGTTGTAATAAATATTGCTAATTAGTTGTTAGTTCTAATTATTCATAATTAGTTCCAATTAATTCTAATCATCACAAATTAGTCCTAAGTATTTCTAATTAATTCTGTTTATGTTATAGATTTATTTTGATGTAGCTGAAAGCATTGATGCCATCATTGATAAACAGGTAACAACATTATAATACTTTGGATTTCTTGTTCCCTTTGTGGAAGATGTATGACAAAAATATGTTTGTTGTTTTTGTTTGATGTTAAATTAAAACTAAGGACATGTACGAACTGAAAACTTATGGCATGTTTAAATTCCTAAAATTTTCTGTTTTGTGTAGGGCTCCACCATATTTTCAGAAATACAAGGAACTGTAAGTGCCTTCCTTTTTTTATACTTTGTTATATGTACTCTCTAGTACAACATTTTAAAGATTTTTTCACCTTTTTCAACTTTGTTCTTTCAGATTGACTGCAACTGTAAATTATCTGGCATGCCTGGTATATTTACGACACTTTGTTATATCTATAGATTAAAATTGAATTTATCTGTAGATTAAAGATTTGTATTAATTATAGATCTCAACATGTGTTTTACAAATCCTCGTATCCTTGAAGATGTCAGTTTTCATCCTTGTCTTCGCTTCAGAAGATGGGAGGTACGTAAGTGTGAATGTTGAATATGGATTGTCTCTGGTCGAAGTCAACACAAATTATTCTTAATATGACTAATAACAATTGGCTTTTTACATTGAACACTTTTCTTTCAATCTTGCACTAAAACCGCGTTCAAATGTCTGTGTATTTTAGTCTGAACGAATTTTGTCATTCGTCCCCCCGGATGGTCGTTTTCGTTTAATATCATATAACGTGGCAACCGGGTGGGTGTTTTAGCAGTTATATTTTCATGATGAAATTGTCTATTTTGATGGTATTTTTTGTTTTTTATTTAGAGTAAGTATGCTACCATTGTTTGCAAAGCCTCGTGTCTTGTTTCAAGAGGTTTATCAACTGTTGAAATTATTTTAAAATATTTTTTATTGATTGTAATAAATTAAAGTGTTTGATTTTTCTGCGTTTTAATTCGTACTACTGTTCAAAACATTGATTCGATGATCGTCTTTTACTTCGTTGTTTCAGGGTGGAAGTGGACGATTTGAATTGTCGATAAGTTCAAAACCAGTTATGGGTAAAAATGTATGTATTTATAATCATGTCAATTTATTAACTGTTGTTGCATCTTCTTGCATTTATAAACTTAAAGATATAACCTAAACTAGTCCATTTTTTTCATACGTATTATCTCGAAGCATTTTGTATAAAACTAACTATATCGTCCTAACGTCATCATACCAAGTCAAATATTGTATACATTAACTTTTGTAAAGTCTTTTCACTCATTGTTTCCATATTTTATTTAGATCGAGAATGTTGTCGTGACTGTTCCATTTCCTAAACAAGTTCTCAACCTTAACTTGACTACAAACGGTAAAAACACTCATAAAATATTAAACATTACAGTCTGATGTTTCATTGCTCTTCATTGACGTTTCCCATCAACATTTATGACTTGTGTTCCATGTTTTCAGTTGGTACCTATTCATTTGATCCAATCAAAAAAGAGCTTTCATGGGAGGTAGGTTCATGAGGAAATTGTCACGATCACGTGGTTATGTGAATCTAACGTTACTTTAAACAATTTTAGATCGGTAAAATACAATCTCAGACACCGTCACCTAACATCAAAGGAAATGTAATTGAAACTTTTTTTTTAATTTTTGCCCGTCTCAGTTGATTTACAGACGTCTTGCCATGTTTTTGAAGAAAATATTTTCAAATTTTTTGCAAGATCTCGCTTCACAACATTTTTTGCTCACGAAGTAAAGTAAGGTCGATCTTCACAGGTCGCTATCACTGTAGTTATATTCTTAAATTTTATTCTCTTTTCTGAAAATTGGTACTATCCCCCTTCCACTTTAGTATTCATTTCTAAAGATCTGATTTCCTACCATAGTTAAACAACTTGTCGTCAAATTCTTGCTGTATGTTCGTTTTCTGTAGTATACTGCTTCTTATCATAATCTTTGTTGATTTTCTTGTTGTTTTTTTTTTATGAAAAGAATTAATGCATACCTCCATAATCTTTTAATTTCTTTCTTTTTGTGTAATTTTCATTGTTTATATTTCAGATATCTTTAAAAAGCGATGTTCCACCTTTGTAAGAAACACCAACTGAATTCGTAAGTGGTTTTTTACTGAGTAACGTATATAAAACCAGTTATAATTGAATGATATACTAAAATAATTCCCAAACCAAACGTTCTCTATGATACAAAGTTAACATAACTTCCCTCAAACATGATTTATTTATCAATACTCCTTAATCATCAACATGCAACAGCCTGCAACAGTACCATCATATATTTGTAGAAAGCTGTCTCCCTTTCGCCTTTATTCATCGGTAGCATTCTTTTCTTTAGTTAAATTTCAAAATATATTCATTTGCGGCTTTGGGATTGAAAGTCGAGGTAGGGACAGTTTGCATGGTTTGTTGTGTATGTAGGGGTACACTTTGCATGGTTTGTTTTACACATAAGGGTACACTTTGCATGGTTTGTTGTGTATGTAGGGGTACACTTTGCATGGTTTGATGTGTATGTAGGTGTACACTTTGCTTGATTTGATGTACACATAAGGGTACTTATTGCATGGTTTGTAGTCTATGTAGGGCTACACTTTGCATGGTTTGATGTACACATAAGGGTACACTTTGCATGGTTTGTTGTGTATGTAGGGGTACACTTTGCGTGGTTTGTTGTACAAATTGGTGTTCATTTTAATCTTGAACAGATGACTTGAGTCCAACTAATGTTATATGGTTTCTGATGTAATTTAGAACTACAAGCTATGAAAGGAGTCAAGACACAACAGCTGGACGGTATAAGATAAGAACATAAAATTTTGTTGAGTAAAAGCACAACACAACATTTACGCATGGTTAACAATTTGCGAATCTCCTTCCTAATCCTTCGACAGAACAAATTTTGATTAGCTTTCGAAAAGATAATTCAAGTTGTTGTGTTTTTTTCAACATGTATGCATGTTTGACAAAAAAAATGTATTGTCTGCTGGGACTGCAGTGGCAATTGAACTTTACCATGGAATAAAAAGAAACGTTGTGAATGCAATCTTCAACGATGTTGAACAATAAAATTGCGTCAATGCAGCAATACTGTACAAGCAAAAAAGTTATGTTATATTGCAGCACGTTATATTCAGAGAAAAATTTCACTTGGAGCAACTGTGCAGTCACTGTTAGTGCAGTGTGCAATGTTAAAAAGCGAACCATTCTAAATGTGAAGGGAGGAAAAATCTGACTTGTTAAAGTTATTAGTAGTTTTTAGTACAAAATGGGAATCAAGCTTTAGAGTTTGTTTCCACTAGCTGAAAATTTTGTACATTTTTCCAAAAAATTTAGCATGGTTTGGATTCTTGTTATTTTTCTAGTGTTACATGGCTGCTTTAAGCATATGGAGTTGCTGGTCCGAACAAGCAGTTGACATTCCATTATTCAACGTGGCTTCAATTCTTTCTGTTTTTCTGGTGTTACTTGGGTACTTAGAGCGTATGGATTTCCTAAACGTATGTAAAGTTTTTATTCTCGTTTATGATACATAGCGTTCCCAAATTGCAATTGGGTATTGTTTCTAAGTTTGTAAGAGCTTTTTCGATCAAAGTTTTATCTGTTGTCAACATTTCTAATTATGTTCTTCCTGAAAATGAATTTCTGTCTGCGGAAACTGATCATTCAGTTTATCAACTTGTTGTTTCATTTACAAAAAATGCCAAACGATCATATGAGGCAGCTGCATGGCAGTTTTGAATATCATATGACTTTTACAATATTTTATTGAATTTTTAATTTCAGGGAATTTGATTGGTAGTCTTCACGGTCGTTATGGATTTATCTGCAAACATTGGCTCATAGTTCCTGCCTATAGAGATTTTATCTCGTTTGAGAGGAAGAGAGTTTTAGAGAAAAGTCGCATTGAAAAGTAAGTTTTCCAGTTAAATCGCAATATTAATTGTAGTTTTAAACATTTTTAGAAAAATTCAAAATACATCAGTGACACAATAAAATTGTAGTCAGCCTGTGGGAACATAAAATACTCGCGATTTGATATCATTTATATTAGTTTGTTAGCTTGATATGACAAAACAGAACATGCGTGAGTGTCTACACTGTAGTGACAAAACAGAACATACGTGAGTGTCTACACTGTAATGAGAAAACAGAACATACGTGAGTGTCTACACTGTAGTGACAAAACAGAACATACGTGAGTGTCTACACTGTAGTGACAAAACAGAACATACGTGAGTGTCTACACTGTAGTGACAAAACAGAACATACGTGAGTGTCTACACTGTAGTGACAAAACAGAACATACGTGAGTGTCTACACTGTAGTGACAAAACAGAACATACGTGAGTGTCTACACTGTAGTGACAAAACAGAACATACGTGAGTGTCTACACTGTAGTGACAAAACAGAACATACGTGAGTGTCTACACTGTAGTGACAAAACAGAACATACGTGAGTGTCTACACTGTAGTGACAAAACAGAACATACGTGAGTGTCTACACTGTAGTGACAAAACAGAACATACGTGAGTGTCTACACTGTAGTGACAAAACAGAACATACGTGAGTGTCTACACTGTAGTGACAAAACAGAACATACGTGAGTGTCTACACTGTAGTGACAAAACAGAACATACGTGAGTGTCTACACTGTAGTGACAAAACAGAACATACGTGAGTGTCTACACTGTAGTGACAAAACAGAACATACGTGAGTGTCTACACTGTAGTGACAAAACAGAACATACGTGAGTGTCTACACTGTAGTGACAAAACAGAACATACGTGAGTGTCTACACTGTAGTGACAAAACAGAACATACGTGAGTGTCTACACTGTAGTGACAAAACAGAACATACGTGAGTGTCTACACTGTAGTGACAAAACAGAACATACGTGAGTGTCTACACTGTAGTGACAAAACAGAACATACGTGAGTGTCTACACTGTAGTGACAAAACAGAACATACGTGAGTGTCTACACTGTAGTGACAAAACAGAACATACGTGAGTGTCTACACTGTAGTGACAAAACAGAACATACGTGAGTGTCTACACTGTAGTGACAAAACAGAACATACGTGAGTGTCTACACTGTAGTGACAAAACAGAACATACGTGAGTGTCTACACTGTAGTGACAAAACAGAACATACGTGAGTGTCTACACTGTAGTGACAAAACAGAACATACGTGAGTGTCTACACTGTAGTGACAAAACAGAACATACGTGAGTGTCTACACTGTAGTGACAAAACAGAACATACGTGAGTGTCTACACTGTAGTGACAAAACAGAACATACGTGAGTGTCTACACTGTAGTGACAAAACAGAACATACGTGAGTGTCTACACTGTAGTGACAAAACAGAACATACGTGAGTGTCTACACTGTAGTGACAAAACAGAACATACGTGAGTGTCTACACTGTAGTGACAAAACAGAACATACGTGAGTGTCTACACTGTAGTGACAAAACAGAACATACGTGAGTGTCTACACTGTAGTGACAAAACAGAACATACGTGAGTGTCTACACTGTAGTGACAAAACAGAACATACGTGAGTGTCTACACTGTAGTGACAAAACAGAACATACGTGAGTGTCTACACTGTAGTGACAAAACAGAACATACGTGAGTGTCTACACTGTAGTGACAAAACAGAACATACGTGAGTGTCTACACTGTAGTGACAAAACAGAACATACGTGAGTGTCTACACTGTAGTGACAAAACAGAACATACGTGAGTGTCTACACTGTAGTGACAAAACAGAACATACGTGAGTGTCTACACTGTAGTGACAAAACAGAACATACGTGAGTGTCTACACTGTAGTGACAAAACAGAACATACGTGAGTGTCTACACTGTAGTGACAAAACAGAACATACGTGAGTGTCTACACTGTAGTGACAAAACAGAACATACGTGAGTGTCTACACTGTAGTGACAAAACAGAACATACGTGAGTGTCTACACTGTAGTGACAAAACAGAACATACGTGAGTGTCTACACTGTAGTGACAAAACAGAACATACGTGAGTGTCTACACTGTAGTGACAAAACAGAACATACGTGAGTGTCTACACTGTAGTGACAAAACAGAACATACGTGAGTGTCTACACTGTAGTGACAAAACAGAACATACGTGAGTGTCTACACTGTAGTGACAAAACAGAACATACGTGAGTGTCTACACTGTAGTGACAAAACAGAACATACGTGAGTGTCTACACTGTAGTGACAAAACAGAACATACGTGAGTGTCTACACTGTAGTGACAAAACAGAACATACGTGAGTGTCTACACTGTAGTGACAAAACAGAACATACGTGAGTGTCTACACTGTAGTGACAAAACAGAACATACGTGAGTGTCTACACTGTAGTGACAAAACAGAACATACGTGAGTGTCTACACTGTAGTGACAAAACAGAACATACGTGAGTGTCTACACTGTAGTGACAAAACAGAACATACGTGAGTGTCTACACTGTAGTGACAAAACAGAACATACGTGAGTGTCTACACTGTAGTGACAAAACAGAACATACGTGAGTGTCTACACTGTAGTGACAAAACAGAACATACGTGAGTGTCTACACTGTAGTGACAAAACAGAACATACGTGAGTGTCTACACTGTAGTGACAAAACAGAACATACGTGAGTGTCTACACTGTAGTGACAAAACAGAACATACGTGAGTGTCTACACTGTAGTGACATAACAGAACATACGTGAGTGTCTACTCTGTAGTGACAAAACAGAACATTTGAGTGTCTACACTGTAATGACAAAACAGAACATTGAGTCTACTGTGACAAAATGAACATACGTGTCTACACTGTAGTGACAAAACAGAACATAGTTTGTCTACACTGTAGTGACAAAACAGAACATACAGTGCTTCACTAGTGAAAAACAGAACTAGCATTAGCTACACTGTATTGACAAAACAGAACATACTTGAGGTAATCACTGTAATAACAAAACAAAAAATACTGAGTGTTACACTGTATGACAAAACAAAAATTGAACTGTTCTGTATGACAAAAAAACATACTTCCTGTTTGACAAAACAAAACATAGTGAGTTTTTTCTATTCCGACAATAATACTTGTAAATTTTCCATATATTTATTCACTCTACGCAGAGCGCTAAGATAACATTCAAATAATCTTTTTATTAGTGTATTTCCTGCTGTGATCTTTTTAAATAGATGATATTGCAAAAGAGAAATTCGACACAGAATCTAGAGCAAAGTAATTTATGATCCCATGTGTATGATTAGTCAATTTTTAGTCTTATTTATGTCTTATCGTATGGAAGTTTCATCGTAGTTAATGTTGGTGACTAAAGTTATCAATTATATTTTTATGATATTTAGAAGCAAATCATGACGACAACTTCCATAAACTTCTAGACAAAAGTAAGAATATTAAAGCTGACGTTCACAAGGCTCTCCAAAGGTAATTTTTCTTTCATGGGATATCGATTATGTATGTTGACCTGTGCATGTCGGAACATTACGAAAAATAGTTTTTAGACAATATATAGTTATCGTTTCTTGTTTAATTTGGTCGTGGCTTAGTGGGAAGTATGAAATAACTCGCCCAAACAAGAAGATGCCGTTTCCTCATTTGTATGTCACAGTTGATTTTGAGAAAGAAAATTCGGAGGACGCTATCAAAAATGAGATCGATGAAAAGTTAAAATGGAAAGCACCGAAATACATCGAATTACGATCTAAACCATTGAAAGAAGCAAAGTTTCGAATGCTGTCTAAAATTATAGCGGAAAGAACCGAGAGTAGTTTTGGAACATTGACAATGTTCTGCCTTAAGAATGATATGTACTATGCCTTGACCTGTGCTCATGCGGGTGTTGTCAATAATTTGGATGACCGTCAACAAGACTTTTGTGGCGGAGTCCAATTTATGGAAATCCAAGAATCTCTAAATGCCACAGTTAACGAAGAAAGCATGGAATACTTTTACAACGGACAACCGATTGTCCGTGTTCCGGATCAAACGAGAGTGGTGTATAATAAAGAAGTCGATATTATGTACATCGTCATTGGTAGGGAGGAAGATTTTCAGGAGCTGGCTGTAAATAATCAGTGACTCTCAATTTAGATTTGGATATGCAGTGCCATACAGGGCCTCACCACCTGCATTGCATTTGGAACATCCAACTCCAATGTTCTCAAAAGACATCTGAATCGACTACACATCAATACAAATGCATTTTCGACAATTCTTCGTGCTCGTGAAAGTCTATAGTTAAAAACTTTCTCATCACCTATTGCAGTCTGGTGTGGATATGGTTGCATTAGATTTTCATTCAAAGCAAATGCCTCATCTCCAAGCAGAAAGTAAGGTATAGGCAATAATGTATCTCTTAGTTCTTCAGCTTGTGGGAAATAGCATGTCTTGCATATGTTTGTAAGGTGACTGTCTTTAAAAATTCCTCCATCTGACTGGTTGCCAGGGGCTCCAAGATCAAATGAGATGAATTTAACATTTGCATCTGCAATAGCCAAGAGGACTATGCTAAAATGTTATTTATAGTTAAAGTACTCAGAGGCTGAGTTTGGAGGTGCACACAAGTTGATATGTTTACCATCAATGTTGCCAACTGCATGGGAAAGTGCCATTTGCATATAAATTCATCAGCAATGTGTAACCATTGTTGTTTTGTTGTGGGTGGCTTTAAATATTCTTTTTTCAGCACATTATACAAAGCTTCACAGACCTCAGGTACAATTTTTGAAATAGATGAAACTGATATTCTGAAACTGTACATCAAATCTTTGTATGAGCATCCTGATGCTAAGAACTTTAATGTTACACACAAGCGATCATGAACAGATATAGCATCTCTCATAGTGTTTTTTTTTCTTTGCTATGAATGGTGTTAGCTTTTCACATAGCTCATCAAACAAAATGGAATCCATCCTTAAAAGTAGTAAAGATTATAATTTGTAAATAAAAGTAAAGAAAATAAGAAAATTTCATTATTAAAAAAAGAACGTAAAATATGAATTGATTGTACAATCCACTGACTGGCTTAATTTTGAAGAGTGCATGAATAAAAAGACTATCACATTTCTTAACTTACCGAAACAAATTTCTAAATACATCATGGTCAGTCACTCGGATCTCTTGAATTAAATTTTGTGCTAACCCTTGTGCGTATCGGCGCTGCGCAGTTTTCCACGGTTTTACCCACCATCGTCGTGACTTTCGTTTTTTTTCACTTCGTGCACCATTAGAGATGTAATAATAGCTACTGCTTGAAGTTTTTCGGCCTTGGTCAGCGCCATTTTTGCACAAACATTGCATTAAAAGTACGTCGTAAAATGAAGTATGGACATGTAACTGTTCATTATTACAATGGGCGCAATACATCAATCGCCATGCGAACAGATATGTTTACATATATGTTGTGTCGTTTACACGGTCAAATGTATTTGTCGCATAAAAATTGTTATAATAAAATTGCTCGTGTAAACGGGCCTATAAAGAGAGAAAACTGCGTGTCAGTTTTTAGTTTAAATACTAATGATTGAAATTTTTAAATAAACATGGCAATTTATTAAACGTTTCTATTTCAGGGAATTTCATTGGTAGACGACCGTCGTCATGGATTTACCTGCAAACGTTTATACATAAATCCCGACACTCGCTAAGTTACATCATTTGGCAGGAAGACGTTTCACAACGAAGACAAATTTAAAAAGTAAGTTTTATCAATAAATATCGACTTAAGAAGAATTATAGGATATACAAAATACTGTAGTTTAACTTTAGAGACATAGTAAAAATATGAAATGCTCATGGTTTAGAATAAGTCTTTCTTATTTCCTCCGCCAAGTGTTTATTTGTTTTTTAATTTGATATGACAAAACAGACGATACATGAACAATTTTATTTATATGGCTTTGAATTGGTCATTATAATTATATATTTAAACTGGACACATTCGTAGTTTGACCGAATTTTCATGATCTTCTTCAAACTCATCGGAGTTACTTCTATGTACAAATCCTCCGATGATACTTATAACAGTGAACTATTTTATTGGGAAAAATAAAAAATATAAATGCGATAACTATACAGTAATTCAATGGCATTGGGAGTTTTTTGTTGCGTTTTTAACCACAAATAAGGTTACGGATATCGTTGGGACTAAATCTCGTTGATAACAAGTTTTCAAGATTGTCTATGACGTGTGAAGAGACTTTCATATAGTTATGCGTCATGTGAATTTATTTGTTCAAATGAAGTGGATTTGATGTTTATTTTATTAGCCACTGCTTGGTCTATTCCATTCAATCATCATATCCAAATTAATAATTTTTCTCGTAATACTTTTTATTTTCTACAGTTATGAAATGTTTAATAATTTGTTAATAAACAAGCGTTTACAAAACAATTGCAAGATCAAGTAAGAAAGTATAGAGAAAATGAATGATCATTTATCTGTTATAAGAGCTCACCATGGACTCATATTGGCAGAGATTTTCGTATGCTAAAATATGGTGAAAACTAGAAAGTAAATTCTAGTTAGATACGAAAACGTATTTTATTATGATCATTATTATCTATTACAAATATAAATGTTAAAAAACTAAATCAAATAATCAAATATGACTAAAATCAGTGTTTAAAAATATCCATGATAAAGGGACAGTCAAGTGTAAAGACAACTTTCCCAATAACCTAGGTCAACATTTAAAGTATGTTCGCGAGTTGAGGCAGATCGACTTCCTCGTATCGCAGTAATTGCTGACCTAATGAGTACGAAAGACAGTTTACAACGCATCCACGCTAGCGTGATGCCATATTGCAGCTTTCTCTTTTGTGCTAGCAGATCAGCTAGCCGTTTATAAGCAATTGCCGTCTTTTTCCCCATACCACCTGATGTTGAAAAGACCAGTGGTGTAAAAGCAGCATATTCAATCTCTCTTATGAGCACACGCAAGCAAATTTTCTTAGGAAAAAGAATATGCTTGGAAATGATTTCAATACTTAGAGTTATAGGCTGATAAGTTTATTTCAAAAGGTGAAGAACCTTATTGATGAGAATTAGAAGAATGAACCTTTTGAGATAATTTATCATTAACCAATTATCTATGCTGCATTACTGCAATCTTGAATAGATTAAATGCAACTTTTATCAAATGTATATCTTTTGAAGCTTCCAAAGATTCAATCATGCGCTTTTTTCGTATACTATCTAACTAAGGCCGACGGATTATAAGAATTTGATTCTTGGTGCGTCTTGTGATTTTCTTTCGATACAGATTCATCGCGCTGTAGACCTAAACTTTGTGGTTTATAATAAGTTTGTCATGTAAGTTGCAATTTACAATGCATTGCGACGTGTGGGTGCCTCCCTATTTGGGAACTACATACGAATTAAGATTGGACTGCACCGAGGGCTTTGTACTACGAGACATTTTAAAATTTTTTGATCCTGTTCAACCTCATATACTTCTTTTTTAAAAAAATTGGCGCCTTTATTTTGTTGTTTGAGTTATCTGTTGGCAACGGTTTTTTATTTTTTAATTAATGCACTGTGAATCAGTCAACCTGTCATTTGTAATCGTAATTAAAGTATCTTATTGTTTGTTTATTTAATGTAGAAGAAAGTCGAGAGAAAGTAAGTCCACTTCCTAAAGGTTGGTATATTTATGCAGCATATTTACAAAGATAAAGTTGTTTGGTGTTGCTATTTTATTCACCTGTGGAATCTAGAATTATAATATTCTTGGACTTGTGAGACATGTAGAAACTAAAATATGACTGCTTAGGTTATTTTAGGCTTGCTGTCCAAATATTTTATACATATGGTTAGCCCAAATGTGTTATCGAATAATGTACACTTTACGAAAAATCGACAAGAAAACGGGGCTGTTTAATTAGGTCCACTTCTAAAAGTGTTTATATAAAAATAAATTCATTTTTTATGGTTACATTATGCTTTTTTACACTTAATTTTATCTACATTGACTCTTAATTTATGTAGTTCCCTAGTCAAATTACGTTTTTTCAGGGAAGGGGTTTTTGTGTCAGTGCAGCAAATGTGTTAGTCCGTTGGTTAATGATAACAAATTTCTCTCATAAAATCCGTCCCTTTTAATTTTCTTTTTATTTTGATGTTTTTAAAATATGATAACCATGCAGACTGAAACAGTTGGATGATATTGGAGGATTTCTTTGCGCTTTTAATTACAAGGAAATTCACCATATTTCTGAATCATAAAGCAGGGTGAAAGTAAACGTTTATAAAAATTTCCAGTTGTGTAAACCGATGGTTTTGAGCTTTAACACATATAATGTGCATCTTTCTCTTCTTTCTCATAATCAATTTTTACATATTACAGATACTGATATGACAAATTAATGAGAAATTACTTTGAAGAAAAGAAACGTTTAACGACTGTCCAGCATGATTTCTGCTAAAATGTCTCGCGGTAAGTTGACTCTGTTATGTTGTAAAGATGAAAATATTACGCGTTGACTTGTTGCCACGTTGGTTTGTCAATTCATTTGGAGTGGAATGATGACTTTGTTGCGATTCAAGATGAAAGTAGTGAAAACAAAGAAAGCATTCAGCGTTTATTGCATAAAAATAAATATACTTTCTCGGATGATGACAGCGTTGTTGGTCATTTTTCTGACTTCTCTTATGGTCCTGATATCGATATCATGTCTATCACTGTTGGCAATGAAGACGATTTTCAGAAGCTTGTTGGTGATGAATTGGAAGATGTTGATTCAAACTTTGATGACGTATTTAGCAAAATTCACGAAAGGCTATGCCAAGAGGAATCTGTGATAGTTCGCACAGACACTGGTACTGAGGGCTACTTGTGTGAACTTATGTATTCAGTTTTTGTTGAAAAACATGTGATTTGGCCTTTCAGTTTAACGACTGTCCAGGATGGTGACGCTGGTGTTCTTGTTTATTTTTTGGATGAAAAAAATAGTTGGCAACCGTTTGCGTATGGAATTGCAGAAATAACTAATAATCACGGGACATATTATGCCTGCATGAGATTAAACATTGCCTTAAAAGCACTCGGCCTTCAGGGTGGTCAGTTTTTTAAACCGAGGAACAATGGTGACACTCTATCCGTTAGTGATAAACACATCGACGTTGACACTGCATTGAACAACACCAACCGTGACGACAATGGTCGCACTGCCTCTTATAAAGGTAAAAAGTTGTGTCATTTTATTTTCCTTCAATTTTTCTTTAATATTTCACTGGTCGAAACGTTTTTAATTTGACAACGGTAATGACAATTGATAATACAATATAAATAACGTTATACAAGTATAAAAAAATATACATATAGCAATCGACTTTTTGACTATCAATTTTTCATGCTTTTGTGTCTTTGTGATGTTTTAGAGAAAGTTGACGAGAGAACATATCACGAACATGAACAAGGTAAGCATAGTGGGAATCATCATATTATTGTTTGAGTTGAATATTTTAGTAAAATATAAACTACACTTTTCACTATTGTAGATGTTTAAACAGATGCAATATAAAATACTTTAAATGTAGATATGATCTTCGCACTTTGTTGGACAATTTAAGCAATTGTCTCATAAACCTGAAAAAAATTCAGGTGATTCAACGGGATAAAACATTCTTTCGTATGAAATACTTTGCAGCTTTTGGTTATTCGATGAAAACAACAATGCTCTCAACACTTTCTTTTCTGTGTTGACAGAAGACATTTCGATGATTATTTTCGATGGTCATAGCTTGCTTATTTTAGAAACTATAGCAAAATAGTAAAAATCAGTAACAAATCTGTAGTTTGCTACAGATTTTCATCCGATTTTTCGAGTCCGGCGACTTTCCATATATGACAAGAACACGTAATATGGCGTCAGTGTCGGTCCGACAAATCGTTGTGTGTAAACGTACCTTTAGAAACTACGTCATGTGCTTTACCAAATACATAAACAAACATTGATTTTTAAGTAGAGTGTGGTTACAAGTATCTCTGAGTGTTTCGATGAAAAATAGAATAATAAAGTTGTTAATATTACAATTTTTGAAAAATTTTCTTGTTGTGTTACTAATAATAATAAATTTGAGTCGCAACTGTAATACTTTTCTTATAATTCACAGCCAATTAACGTTATCAGGATTAGAATAGTTAAATTTCAATTTTTTGCAATTTTTTTTGCAGTCTGTTTTGCAATAGTTACTGTTATGTTAATTATGTTAATAGTATTTATTGTTCTTTTTACTACAGTGACATACACTTATTCAAGCCCACTTGAAATTGCTGAGAAAACGGACAACGAAATACTCAATCTGAAGTTTCTAGCCCAGATGCATATCAATGAATATCACAATTTGGGTAAGACACTATTTAAGATATAAAGCTAATTGTTTGCAATAAAAATGTTAGATATCGAATCCACATTCCTGTTGATTATCTAAAGGTAAAAGGTAGGTCCCTTTATCGCAGTTTATGTAGCAAACGTACTTTGAAACCACGATTTGTGCTTGCACTTGAAACTAACAGAGCCAGAGGCGTACTGAAATTTTAGACTGATGAAATCTTTTACACCACATTAATATTAGAATTATTGAAATGTCTATTGACTATTTGATTATTTTTTATATTTTGCTAAATGGCATACAATTATTTTAAGTTGGGTTGTCGGAAGAATGGAATTGCGTTGACAAATCAGTGATGCATCGCGAAAAGTTTGAAATGATGCAAAAACATTGGCTAGAACATCCAGGTGATATTAGAATTAAAGGCGATGTACGTGTGATTTTCAAGGAAAAGTTCTTGATTGGCAAAGGAAGTGGTGGAACCGTTTATCTTGGTTTGGGAAGGGATGGTTATGGAAAAGCTGTAAACGAATCCTTAATAATAGCTGTATCCATCTGCTCTACGAGAAAAGAATGTTTTGAATGAGCCAAACGCAAAGAAGTCGAAGCATGTTGTAAAGTATTGGAACTTCGTAAAGAGGAAGGAGAAGATTTTGTCTATTTGATATTAGACTTGTGTGAACAAACTTTGACAAGTTTTGTTGAGTCTACTAGTTTAGATACACTTCAAGAAACCCTTCCCGAAATGCTTAGACAAATTTTAAATGGATTATCTGATCTTCATAATGGTCCAAATTCTATTCTTCATCGGGATTTAAAGCCTTCTAATGTTCTTCAAGACGTGAAAGGCAAATTTATGATAGCTGACTTTGGCCTTAGTCGAATATTGAAAAGTAAATCAACACATCAAAGCAGTCCTGGTACAGGCAGTTATGGTTGGTCCGCTCCTGAATGCTTGGGTGATGGTCGTTACAAGAAAGAGTCTGATATAATGGTAGATATGCTCGTTAAAAAATATATAGCTATTGTTCAGTTCTGCAAATAACTAATAAACTTAATTTTTTAGCATTTCAGTATCTACAGTTGATGTTGTGACTATTTATGGGGGTTTTTTTAATAATAGAGTTTAGGAATGGTGGCTTATTATGTTGCAACAAAAGGGGAACATGCTTTTGGAACTGAAGAGAATAGATTGAAAAACTTAATAAATGGAAACCCTGTTGGCTTAAAAAAAATCGATGATGCTCAACTTGAAGATCTTCTTTCATGGATGCTACAGTATGAGCCTGAACTCAGGCCATCAGCCAACGTGGCGTTAAAACATCCTTATCTACAATCCAATGAGGAAAAGTTTGACATGCTGTGTGATGTTGGAAACCAACCGGAGATAAAACAACCAATATGTCGAAATTCAGATGTTCGTAAGCAGTTGGACTGTCCCACAGAATGGATGAATTGTATCGATGATGAAGTTTTGAAAGATTTAACAACATATGAAGTAAACAACAAAAAAAGGACTGTAACCTACGAGTCTTCATGGGCAAGTTGTTTGAGATTCATACGTAACGTTGATCAGCACTGGCATGATAAATCTCGTTCACGTCTATGGCCATATATCAAGGAAGGCAACTATAAAGAGTATTTCGTGCAACGTTTTCCCGAACTTCCTCTACTGGTGTACAAAAATTATTAGATCGACTGACTGGAAAACAAGACCTGATCTCAAAAAACATTTTACCTGTAAGCTATTTAAATAATACCCCATTTTTACGACTTAGACATGTTAGAGTTCCATGCATAATAACATACTTCTCTGTCACATTGAACTTTTTTTTCTACTCTTTAAGTTGTAGGTTTTAATCATTGTATAAATGTTTCCAACCTTCTCAACGTTAAATTAAATTAATTTCTATATTTTTCCGTTGCAAACGTTTTTAGGAAACATAATTCCTGTGAAAATTGAAGGAAGTCAATGGAAAGAAAAGTGAAGATATTATTGACAACCATAATCTTGATAGAAAATGAAGTATAACAAACTCTTAACTAATCATGTGCCACTTTCAAATTGTTAATTTGAGAAACGATCAAGAAATTGATTCATAAAGTCATATTAAGGGTTACTTGCATGTATAGTCACTTAAATATGGATTATTAATTAACTTAAATTCGATCATTTATGTATGTAAAGGTCTTAATTAATTTAGGACGTGAATGCATGAAAAGCAATTAGGGAAATGTTGTATTAATTATAGTCGTAGAGCATCTTGCAAATAAATGTATATAATGGTTAATATTGTTGCCAATGAGGTGCCAGGCGGGGGGATTCTCAATATAAATATTAGAGCCCAACAAATAATTTTATACATAGTCATAAAGCAAAATGTAATGGTTACATACTTCGTCATAAAAGTTGAATATGTTGAGAACATGTATATCTTTCTATTTCAAGCTGGAGAAAATTATTAAAGCGAGTTGTATAGGGTAGCCGTAAGTATGTTTACAAAAGTTAAGGCGTTTTAAAGAAAATTCCTATGCTCCACTGTTATTTGGTTATCACAACATCACCGTACACTAAACATGGTTACTCTGGGTCATATGATATCTTCCACGTATATTTAGGGATATATTTCTGGAAAAAGATTGGAGAAGTGTTTTAAGTCGCTCTGTTTGTGATTATTTCTTTGAAGCTCAAGGAAAGGTGAATGAGTTTATGTGTAAATTGTTGGTTATTGACAATTATTTGTTGATGCTTGTTTTATTGAGAAGTTTAAGTTACTCTAATGAACAGTTGCTATTATAGATTCGTCTCACAAAAGTGCATCTACGCAGATCAAATCAACTATCGTCATTCATTTTAAGGTCACGAAGACATTCCTCCAGTAATTGCAACAGGATTTGGTTATCTGTCATGATCTCTGATTTTTTTCTGTTGGAGAAAATGAAAGTTTGTGTTTGTTTGAAATGATCGATTAAAATTGCTTATTTGTGTTTATTATGAACCCATTGCCTCTAATTGAAAGAGATTGATTGCCAGTCTTGATTGCAAGAATACAGCATATATTGCAAGGAAATGTTATCATTCAATGTTTCCAGAAACTGTTATTTCCTTTGATTAAACTTAATTTTGTATTCATGCAGGATTTATAAATGTCATCTCCAAATCTTCGTCTTACTTAAAATGCTGCTACATGTTACATTTTTCATGTTGCATGTGGCATTGTATCATATTTACAGTGAACATTACAAGAAATGTACATTCGTTCTAGATTTGACAACGATTCTAGTGATTTTTTCCAAAATTGCTTGTAACTTGCGATTTGTATCGTGAGCGTTTTGTTTTGGAGACTTTCTATATGTGATCTCCCCCAATGGATTTATCTTTTCTCACTGCCTCGTTCTTTGATTTCTGCCTGTCTCGACAATACTCGACCTAAAACATCATAAACAAAATTAAATCCATAGCCACGTAAATTACCTTTTTGTAACAGCTGTTTTAATAATGGTTTTTCAAAACAGGCAGCGTCACAAATAGCACCTGCTATGACAGCGTCTTTTTGTTAAAAGGCTACACTTTTCTCTCCACAGGATCTTAGTTCTTATGTGACGACTGATTCCTTATTTATCTGCTAAAGACTGCTTCTCACAGAGATAGACGTCTTCAGATACTGTTTTCATAAGTTGTTGAAACATGTCTAAAATTGGATCAAGTTGTTTTTGAAACTGTCAGAAATGACGCATCGATTTTTAAGACTGACATAAGGCCGTTTACACGAGCAATTTTAATATGACAATTTTTAGTTGACAATGTTAATTTGACCGTGTAAACGACAAAAAAGTTGTCAAATTTTCTTTAGCAATTGCCTGTTTTGAAAAGCTGATGTGCTAGCTTTTATGTGACAAATAAAAATTATCACATACAAAAAATGGGTCGTGTAGATGGCTGTCAAATAAAACGTGACACATATCAAGGAGCGAAGTAGATCCCAGGCTTCACATTAGTGATGGGTGATATCGCTAGTATCGATTCGATACGATACCGATTACTTTTTCTTAAAAGTATCGAGGTATCGATTACTAAAGCGATTACTTTCTCCAATTTCGAAAATAAAACTGTGAAGCACTTGATAAAGACCTGATAATGGAATTTGTAAATTGTGGCCTTATATACTTCAACAATACGACAAAAATTTTATTTTTTTTTGTCTTAAATTACAAACTGTCATAACATTATTAGGAGTAACGATAAGTTTTCAGAAGCTGTATAAATTCGAATTGAAGAAATAGGTTACATGCTGTTCTGAAAGATAAATAAATGTTTTTGCACTTTGGAACATGTTAACAGTAACGATGTATTTTTGAAAGTTACATATTCTTGTTTAAAAAAAGCATCATGTCAACGTTCTTTGCCTTTATCCTACTTCTTTTTTCGCTTACCAGTTCTCCCGCTTTAGAGAAGAGTCTCTCTTAGGGAATTGAAGTCGCTGGCACACAGAGATATTTCCTTGCAATTTTTTCAAAAAGGGGTTATTGACAGGCATTTTCTTTCCACCAAAGCAATGGATCGCTTTTCCTCGGTATGTTTTTCTGCTTGAAATATCTTCGGCATTCTTCTTCCACGACAACATTTCCCTTGAAAAACTTCCCATGACATCAGTCATAGTTATTTTTATTGGAACTAACTTTTACATTGTCTTTTTAATTCTCTAAAAATTAACAATATAAAAGTCTAGAGTCTAAAGTCATAAATGAAAACCTTACATATCTGACATCCTGTTTTTTTGCTCTAAGAGAAACGAGAATATTAGAAACAGTCGTCCATTTTCGTTCGTGAAGAATTTTGATGCTAAGTACATTTAGCGTTTAAATTATTTTTAATTCATTTTGTTTGTCTATTTCATAATTATAAATAAACCTTGTATGATTTTTGGTTTTTTGTTTAATCATTGGTCAGCAAACACGTTGCAACGATATATGAACTATACAGAATAACTTTTTTCTTGTTTGTTTTTATTAACTTTTCGTTAGCAATATGATTTAGTCTTTTCGACAGTAAATACTATGTTATTTAACGTATGCAAGTTATTCAACAAATCAACTCTAGCAGCATGAAACAAGACTGGTTAGTGTCGTATATGAAAATAAAATAACAGAATTTTTGATAAATTTTCTAATTCTAATTGCTTCTTGAAAATTTATGTTCAACTTAATTTCAACTCTCGGCCATTACAGAAACACTTTGATTCCTGGCTTTTCATATGTTACTCAATAATTATACATGATTGTTACATCACTGAGGTCTGTGGACCAATAACTGCATGACTTAACTGAGGTATTTAGCCAGAACTCATTCGTAAGTTGTTCGTTAAGGTCTGTTTGAACTAGCTGCCTCACGTTACATCTGAGTTTGATATATGATCATGTAAAATGTTAGACTTTGATATTTTCCTCAAGAGTTTTTGGTTGTTTTTTTTAGTCGATGAAAAGCAAAATTGATAAGAATCTATGACATGAAAATCACGGTCCATCATGCATCTCTATTTCTAAATACGTTTTTCAAAATAAAATAAAATCGGCTAAAAGCAAAGCACCTCTCTTGTATGTACGTATTACATGGTATTTTATCCGTCATCATATTTCATTTATAACTGTTTGAGATTCTTTTACATTTTATTGACTTGTTTTCTTTGACGATGAAGACGAAAATCTTTATGATCATCAAGTGAAGATTAGTCAGGTAAGGTCGGTGAGTCTTTAGTGGACTGGGGACTAGTAAGATGAATATAATTTTTTTTAAATGGAAACATCGTTATTAATATTGTCTAGCAATAATATAAATATAATTAATAAATACTTACGAAATGAACTCACGTGAAAATAAACCATCAAAGTTAGTTAAGTAAACGAGAAATATTATAGGTTTAGTATGTGTAGATTTCAAAATGATTCACAGTTTGTTTATCATCAACGCTTCAATGTGAGTAGATATGATATATATGATGGATATATATGGGTTAATGTTTTTTATATATCAAATTTCCTCTCTACGCCCTTGTTAGTTTGTTAGTTTACATTGATCATTTATGCAGTTTAGGAACTTGTGTTTGATTGCTGCGGATGGCAGACGTTTGTGGCTGTTCAAAAGACATCAGGCCATGGAAAAATAATAAGTTTTATTAACGACTGAAGAAAGTAACTGGGGACAAGTAAGATGAATGTTTTGAATTTTTTTTCAAATGGAAACATCTTTATTAAATGTTAGCAAAAATATAAATATTTACAAAATGAACTTAAATGAAAATAGTTTTATGCAGGTATTGGTTAATGGTTATAGATAAAATTTCCCCTTCAGGCTCTTTTGTTGGTTTTGTGCATATTAGCTTGTAATTATTCAAGTATGTAATTTATAATTAAATTTGAATGAGATGTAGTGAGATAAGTTGCAGTATAATATTAAATGAAAGCTTGAACAAGGGCTACAAGGTGAAGTTTATTTTTATTTGTGGTATCACCTGACATGATTAATGCAATTATACTAAGATAAAATGAAAAATGCCATGACATTAAATAGTCTAGTAAACGAATGTCCGAGGTTAGACAAAAATGATGTCATGGGTAATTGTGGGATATATTTCTGGAAAAACATTGGAGAAGTGTTTTAGGATTTGTTTGTGATTATTTCTTTGAAGCTCAAGGAAAAGTGAATGAATTTATGTGTAAATTGTTGGTCATTGATATGAAAG